CTGCATCTTGAATTGACATCACTGAAACGTTTATAATTTGTGAAAAATAACATGATAAAGATAACTGGAGAAATATTGGAGAATAAAACTAATTTGCTTTGAGAGGCATCCGATTCTATAAGTTGCAATGGCATCTCTTTTGTCACTGGTTAGAATAGAAAAGATGGTGAATTAAATTGTATGATAGTCGTCACACATATTCTGATAAGAAAAATCCAGCAAAATAATTCTGTCGTCAAACATAAAGAAGACCAACTTTGTAAATTGCAACTTCTACTGGTCACTGTTGGGGTTGTGAGTCACCATGATCCTTTGATTTTTATGCCCCCATATCTTGGATTGATGCGCAACCATAGGAGTCCATGAATGACTTTTATCTTTTTCAGTGACAAGGAGAGAAGCTAAGAACTCAGCTTGTGGAGAATATGTAACAGCGTTCTTTGCATTCTATATAATGACTTCCACTGAATAGAACATTAACACAGCTCAAAGTTGCAGCAAATTATTGTTCAGCTGCAACATGGTTGGTGAAGTCTCTGGCAATGGAGAAGCACAAATATTGCCTGATTCTGCTCGTAAACAAGGCAGTTGGACTACTTTCCCCTTCATTGCTGGTCTGTCTCCCTCTTCCCTTCTCTCTTTTCTCTCTGGAGTCTTGAAGTGTGTCAATTCTTGCACTGACAAATAAGTACATCATTTTTCAATTGTTAGGGACCCTGATGGGATCGAGCATAGCTGTATCAGGATGGGCAAACAACTTAATTGTGTATATGATAGAAAAATTCCATGTGAGGAGCATTGATGCTACTCAGACTTTTAACATGGCCGCTGCTTCCAGTAGTCTACTTCCAGTGGTTGCAGCAATCCTTGCTGATTCCCTCGTAGGCTGCTATTCTGTCATCTGGATGTCTTCTCTTGTCTCTATACTGGTAATAGCCTTCCTTCACACAAAAACAATTAAACTAATTGAAGAAACAAGCATGAGAATGTCTTCTTTTAACTATTAAGCATTGGCAAAGTGAATATTAGTAGTAAAATGCTGAAGTAAATTATGAAACTGAACACGAGCCTGTTTTCAGACCTTTGTTGAAGCAACTCTCCTAATATCAATTGTTACTGCATTTGCAGGGGATTATCCTCTTAGCTTTAACAGCTATGCTTGAACCCTTAAGGCCTCAACCGTGTCAAAATGGATTAAGCATGTGTCCAACCCCATCAAAAGTTCAATTTTCTGTCCTTTATTCCGGCATAGCATTAGCATCTATAGGGGTGGCAGGCACTCGCTTTACAATTGCAGCTATGGGAGCTAATCAATTTGATAATTCTAAGGATCAAAGGATTTTCTTCAATTGGTTTGCTGTTACTTTGTATACCTCTATGGTATTAGGTGCCACAGTAATTGTTTACCTTGAGGAAAATGTAAGTTGGGCTCTAGGATACTGCCTATGTGTTGCAGTCAATGTTATTGGATTAGCCATTCTCTTGTTAGGAAGACGTTATTATCGACATCTGAAACCCCAGGGGAGCCCTTTTACAAGCTTAGCTCATGTTGTCATTGCAACCATTATCAAGAGGAAAGTTCCTCTTTCATCCAGAGCTGAAGATTACTATCATCAGAAAGATGGACCAATGGAGAAGCGAGCTTCAGTGCCTTCTAAAAGCTTCGGGTATGATTTATTTTTTACATTCTGAAATTCCACAATTAAAAGCTAAACATTGGTCAAAGATGCTAATTATTCATTTTAAATATCTAAACCAATTAAGCAATGCAGGTTTCTAAACCATGCTGCATTGCAAACTGAAGGAGACACCGAGGTGGATGGATCGATTGCAAAATCATGGAGGCTGTGCTCAGTACAACAAGTTGAGGATTTTAAAAACCTAATAAGAATTTTTCCATTGCTGTCAAGTAGTATTATAATGTGCACCACAGTACCAGTTGTAAGTCCCTTGACAGTCCTCCAAGCTCTAACCGTGGATCGCCATCTTAGACCAGATTTAAAAGTCCCAGCAGGGTCCATGATAGTATTCATACTAACCTCAACTGCCATCAATCTCACTTTCATCGATCGGGTCCTTTTTCCCCTGTGGCAGAAGATAACTCACAGATCACCGATGCCCCTCCAACGAATAGGACTCGGACACTTGTTTAACATGATAGGGATGGCTGTTGCTTCCCTCGTTGAATCCAAAAGGTTAAAATTAGCCCAAATCCACCATCTTTCAGACCATCCAGGGTCCACTGTTCCAATGCTTGTCCTGTGGTTGGTGCCACAGTTAGTGTTGGTTGGACTGGGAGAAGCATTTCATTATCCAGGCCAAGTCACACTGTACTATCAAGAATTTCCAAAGCCACTGAGAAGCACAGCAACTGCAATGATTTCAGTAGTGGTGGGAATCGCCTATTTTTTAAGCACTGCCGTGATTGATCTAGTTCGCAGGGCTACTACATGGTTACCAGACAATATAAACAAGGGAAGGCTAGAGAAAGTCTATTTGATGTTTGCCTTGATGCAAATGTTGAACTTTTTTTATTTTCTATTCTGTGCCAAGTGTTTCAAGCATCAGAGTGTTGAGGAAGGAAATAAAAGTACTAATGAGAGTTCTAATGAGGAGAAATGATGCTGAAGTTGAAGGAACTGAGAACATGGTCATGCGCAAGCCTATTTCATCCACTCCCTAGTTTCAAGAACCAGATTTATTGGAATTGGAGAAGCATTTCAGTTATTTCTAGGACAACAAACAGTTAAGGAGGGGAATAACCATTTACAGCTTATAAAAGCAATGATGATGTAGAAGAAAATGCTATCAGAAATGTGTAATGATAATCATATCCGGATGTACTGAAAGCATTTCCTTTCCAAAGTCAAATCTGTCAAAGTAGACGTTATCAACTTAGAGATTGTCTTATATTATTGCCATTAAGCCAGTAGCCATTGCGGTGCAAAGAAACAGAGAGCTTCAGGTATTGATTATGTCAACAGGACTCGTATTGATATTCCTTTTTGGAAATTATGAAAGACCCTTCATCGCCTATGAAACATAGATTCGGATACATAATATGGATACGATATAAATATTATAACATTGGAATTTCTAAAAAATAAGACGTGGATACAATAAGATAGGACAATAAAAATATTTTTTATATATTATAATCATCATATAAATATATATAATAGATATTGGGCTAATTTGTAAAAAATATTTATCTTTGTGAAAAACAAACTGATGATAGATACAATAATAAAATAACATATGATGTTATTGTCCACATAAGAACTGTTTTTTTTTTTTTTCTTAGTCCTATCCTGTCAAGTTTGACACATATTTTGATGTATCGCAACATCAAAGTATCAGACATGAATACAAAACGGATATGTGAGGAGTTCGGAAGTGTCCGTGCTTCATTGTTCATTACTTTATAATATCACAATTTAGAAGAAAATAATGTTAGTTGCTATTACGCTGATAATGAGGATGATAAGGAAACAAGAAAAGTTTAAATGTTCCAAATATTTTCTGAATATCCAACTATGGTTTCAGATACAACTCTGGCCAATTGACCCTTTTGCATATATGCATTGAATCAAGGGATATTGGTAATGTCAGTTCTTCTATCAAAACCAAACAAGCTACAAAACCAGGTTTTTTTCTCTTCTGGGAAACCTTGTCCTATGTCAGAAATGGTTTAAGCAGTTTTTGATTATCGGAAAGAGCCAAATAAAACCCTAAACTAAACCTACTAGAAAGTAGCAGTAAATTAGTGCAATACATTATGGCCTTCCATATCTAGGAAAAACTGCTAAGGCGCTTTTACAGGAAAACCTGTTTCTTGTGCATTGAGACCGCTTCACACTTTTTGGGGCAAATCTTCTAGCACTAACTTGCTTCACATTAATCAATAATTTCACCAACTTCTAGCTCTAGCTGCCTTGCATTGAGCTTTGGGTTTTGATCAACATAAATTTCCTCGAGACATATTTGCCAAATTCCCTGACAATGAAAGCATGAAGTTCTTGGTTTCAAACAGGATGTCCCCTGGAGAAAGTCATGAATTTGGTCTTCTGAATCAACTCTAGCCTTATCCTCTGTCACAGTAGCCAACTTCTGTTGCATTAAAAGCTCCCCCTTGTCTCCCCCAGCAGAAGTTTGGCATCGTAATTCACTGTTAGGTTTTGAAGATTGCTTGCTTCCCAAGTATGTAGCAACTATATGGAAAAGCCTGGTTGGCACACATCTTTCACGAAGTCCTCAATCATTCTTTTGCGCTTTCCCTGTTCTTGAAAAGTAACCCAACAAAATATCTTGAGTAACTAGTGGAAAATGTTCTTGAGTACAACAGTATAACCATAGGGGAAATGCATCAGGTATATGTTGGAGTTTCTTGACAAAGTGTTTGAAGCCTGATCTTTCAAGAAAATTCCGAAAGGCAACATTTTTCATGGAAACAAAGAGAGGTTTTCCAATTTGGATATTGGGAAAAGATAACTGGAAAATCAAGAAAAGATGAGTGAAAGACTTGAAGAGACTGAAATATTTAAATAGAAATCAATAAAATCTTTGATCGTTAGGAAAAGCACCGTACTGATAAAGGCTGTGCACTTTCTTACATGAGTAAATTTCAAGTTCAGAGTTTCTTTCTTACACGAGTAAATTTTAAGTTCAGAGTTTCTATATAAAGAGGTCCAATTTTTCATTTTCTTTCGGGTAAATATGGAAAAGTTCAAGAAAATTACAACAAAAGAATTCGTTTTTATATACTGTCAATGGATTTTTTTAATACAACAAATAAGATTAAGAGACCGACAAATATCTTTTTTTTTTTTTAAGAACATCCTAAAAAAAATGGCATCCTGTTAACTTTGCTACTAAAATTTAAAAATTCCACAATGCATGAAATGAAAAAAATTTTTGACCCAATGCAACTTTTCATTACAACAGATTGCATTTAGGAAGCTCCAGATTTCAAGCTGAACTGTTTTCTTTTGTACCAAAATATACCGTTTATTAAATAAAGAATAATTGATTAGATCACAGAAAGTTATCAAACACAAATTTTCTGCAGATCGACAACTTTTATTACAAATTATCCATATTAATTAGTACTTTCATCAAAAATAAATAGTGTCTGATTGAGATTTGAGAACTGATCAAACTGAAACACTACATTATACGAAAGAACTTTCTAGCATTTTTTAGAAATGCCAGAGTTGCAGCATTTATGTTTGCTCGAACATTCAAACCTTTGCTAGGTGTTGCATGATAGTACAATTGTCACTTTTGTTAGCTGTAGAAAAGAATGATTAGGTGAATCTCAGCCTCCGTTAATCAGAACCAGGCGGGATGTTTGGGTTTGTGAATTTTGTGCAGTCAAATGGTCCGATCCCCTGATTGTTTCTCCTTTTCACCTGAAAATCACATTAGTTTTTTGGCATTAGTTGCGCATTACAAGTGAAAATATTAGGTCCCAAGACATGACTATAATTAATGACTGATACAATTGCACAAATGTCATTGAACAAATATGAAAAGCACCAGTTGAAATGAATAAGCATCCCTTCCACATGAAAAATTCCAATGCTCCACACCTTGATTAGCAACTGTACCACTTCAATCAAGATGTTAAAGCAGCGTACTAGAAATAAATCATATCAAGATTAAACTCTTGGTGCATGTTTATATAACATTTCTTGGAGTACTAAAAATATGTTTAAAAATGCTTTAACATGTCCACTCACAACTATGTAAAACATGAGGTTGTAAGAATTTTTTTTTTTTTTTGTCCTCAACGAATAAGCAGTTTTGCAAAGTGTCTTTATAAAGGAAAAGCAGGCACCCTTGAACAATACCTCCTCTCCCACGCCTGGAACAAAACAGCATAGAGTAGCAAAAGAATATGAAAAATAAGAAGAATTTGGAGCAGTAAAAATGAATTTTTTTTGTATCAGAATTTGTAAAATAGGATGAATGAAAAAGGAGATATCAACAATCAACATAAACAAAGCCTTAGTGCCCAAATGGGCTCAATTACATCAGGCCTCGTTCACCTTTGGTTTAGACTTCAGATGAGCAAAAAAAATCAATCCTTCAAGACGGTTTTCAGCAGACATCTATCAACTAGGAAGAGGACATATATGACCAATGTGATGAGTTTGATTCCGATACTTTCATTACATTTTGGCAATTTCAAATTTAAAACAAATGCTTTTATATTTGATCAATTGTTTCAGCTTTGACAACCAAAATGAAGATAACTCTGCATAGCATTTCTAATCTTTAAAAGGAAGTAGAACTGTACCGGGGACCATGGACCAGGTTCAGGTATAGCTTTGTCCTTGGGTGAATTTTGTACAGCGCCACTTTTCATTGTTAGAATTTCCTGAGTGATAAAACGGCATTATTAAATATGCTGAATACACCATTACTGACTTTGTCGATCAAACTAATAGTGGCGAAACAAAAGATTCATTTTCAAGTTCATAATTTATAATTTAGGTAATTTTGATGGTTATTAAACAGAACAGCTTAGTAACACTCTATCATGAGAATCATGACAAGAGCTGCTTGAATCTTCAGCTTCATGAAATGAAAGGAAAAAAGTTAAATAAAATTACCTCTCCAGCAGCTTCAATTGCAGCTAACCATTCATCTGAAAATGGAACAACATTTGGAGGGGGCTTTACTACAGGAGCATTTTGTTTTTTGTCATCGCCAGTTTTCTCACTGCTATAAAACAAGTCAGACCTGAGCATATTTCTGAAACTGTTATGACATTTAAAATCTCAAAAAGCATAGGACTTCACTGAAACAATGAAGAAGTATACTGCAAAATGTGTATTGAGATTGGTCTAAGATGCTTACAACGAAGTTGTTCCACCATTAGCTTCCACAGGGATCATGGCACTGTTTAATTCCTGTGGCACATCATTCTCCAATCTTTTGACTTCTTCCAGTAAGACATTTCCTCTAGAAGAGGTGGGATTTGTTTTGATTGAGGATGCTGATTCCTCATTCAAAGAGCCAAATGCCTGCGACTTGCAGGTATTTCCTGCCCCAGAAATTTGATCTTCACTCAATGAAGATAACTCAAAATTCAAAGAGGTTGGCTTGATCATATCATTATAACAGTCATGATTGTTATCTGACTGCTTAATCTTGACATAACTTGATATTTCCTTATTAATAGACAATCCAAATTTGTCTGATATAGTTGGTTCAACAATGACAATATTTTGAAGCTCACAAGGTTCATTTAAATCCTCAACCACTGCAAAATTGTTACTTTCTGCTGAAGCGAAAAGGTTACTTTTGCAGCTATCAAATGAAATACCATCATTGAAGAACTGCAAGTGTGCATCTTTCCCGGAAGATCTCATAGTCATCTCATTAGCTCCAGCAGCACACATTTCATTTGGTTCATCTGCGTGTTCAACTTGATACAGATCAGAAGGACCTTCAACAGCTTGTCTAACAAAACTTTTATCTCTTGGACTAACATCTGCACAGTTGTCACTATCAAAATAGTTTCCCTCCATAGATAAAAGGCCAAGACAAGCCTCTGGAATCTGATTCACTTGAAATGCTTTACCAGCTTCAGAGGACTGTATCACCTCAGCTTGGACAATAGACTTTTCACTGCTATTTTGCTTATCAACCGATGAGTTAGTGAGCATGGCTGGTACATCAACATGACAAGAAGTGATCTTTTCTCCTGGCTCTGCAATGGAAGAGTTACATTTTGCAGACAAACAATATTGATTGCCTTCAATACTTTTGAGGTCAATGATATCATCTACATCAGAATAACCTTTAGATTGCACTAATGGGCTATGGTGGGATATTAAGTGGGAATTATCCATTTCACTACCATTGAGATCTCCACCGCTTTGGCAGTCATTACTGACACTAATATCACAAGCAGTTATTGCTCCAGTTACTTGATCTTCCCTGATCCTTTCTGATCCCTTGGATGTAGCTTCACAAAGGAGCGCAATGTCATGGTTGCACCGTGTAACTGGGACCTCATTCTCTATATGTTGGCACTCAACCACCTCAGCCATCTCATGAATGCAATTATGCAGTGCAGGAGGTATCCAACAAGGAGCACTGGATTTTGCCATTTCACTTTGACAAGCTTCAGCTATTTCTGATGCAACATCTTTAACATTTTGAAGATTTATTTCAGCATGCAACCTTTCAGAAGAAAAGATGTCTCCACGTAATAAGCAATCAGTTGAATATGATCCACAATTATCCTGGAAAACTGTTTCTGCTATAATGCCTGGATTGAGAAGTGGTGGCTGTTCAACTGGTTTTTTGTTTACATCATTGAAAAGTGTGTGATGATTACCTGCTTCTGAAGCATTCGGAAGACAACTGCAGCATTCAAGAGATAGATTACCTTTGGTAGCATGCATTTGTTCATCTCCTACATGTGATTGCAGATTCAAATCATCAGCCCCATCAGCACCATCTTTACCTTGACTTCTGCCTCCATATTGAGGTAGACCATCAGTCCTTTCCAATTCACTGGCACTGCAATCTCTGACTTCTGGACAGATATCTTTACTATGCACACTGTTGAAACTAAGAAATTCTTCTGAAGGTTCTCCCTCCTGAAGCAAGGTGCCTTCATTAATATGTGGCCTCTCAATCTCATTAATTATCTGATCATCAAAGATGCAAGGTTCTGCCTGTTCAGCTTGTTTGCTTGATTGTTCGTGGCCATCATGAATGCTTATCTGGTCATTGTTTACTTTTGGAGAACCATGTACATTACAACCATCCACATCACTGTAATGCAACTGTGGAAAAAGATCAAAATCCTCTAATGAATTATGCTGTTCATTTCTTGAAACTTGGTTGCCAACATTATCAGCCTTCGAGGCAGCTTCTATTTGCAGGCTATGGTGAGAGAGAAAACAGGTATCTTTAAATTCATGCCCATTTTGATCCGGACTTCTGGGGATGACAAGATCTGCCCTCCTCTTATGATCTAGTTTCACTTGTTTGGAGGATTGATTTTGCAAGAGTAATTTGTCATCAGTATACTGCAATCCTACATTCTCAATTTGCTGATTAAGATCATTGTCATTGGTGAGCAATGTTTGTTGATTATTCGCTAATTCATGATTGTTAGAATTACAAGGAACCTTCACTTCCAACCTCAGCATTTTACTTCCTCTTGAATTGGGTTTGATATTTTCGCATAAAGAATTAGCACTCGATGGAACAGATGGTTCTGTGCTTGACATCCTTGCATTTGTAATTGCTGCTACATCATTAGCCACTACATCTACTTTCACAGAAGGAGCGGGGCTCTCACAAATAGAATTTAAGACACCTAGCTTCCGCAAATTAGGAATATTAGACTTTGGTTTGTTGCACGATTGGGTACTGCTCTGTAGATTATGTGAAGCATTAGTCTTTGACTGCAAAACAAGATCACAAATCAACAAGAGAAAGGGAAGAACCCCAATGATGCTTCTAAACATTCCTAAATACATCAAAATTTACTGTTGATTTAAGTGAAGTTAACATACCTGAGTAAAAAATCCCAATGATGGTGAGGGCATCCGTAAACCAGATGGTTTTGCCAATTGTGCCTGTTCATATTGAGTGCTTCTATGGATATGGTAACCACTTTGAGGAAAAGAAGTAATTTTGCTGGAACCAGCTCCATGATTGATAGATCCATGACCAACAGCCACAACAGTGTCTTGGTTTACCTTTAAGCCATTATCTGCCTTAGTAACCAGTTGATGGTGTGAATAGGTTGATGAATGGCTTTTCAATGCTAAACTTCCCTGTACACAGAAAAGAGAAATGGAAGATAAGAAGCAATGTTTCTTAGTTTCAAAAGAAAAATTAACAGATAACAAAATTGTTAATCATCATTTAATTTCCATAAATTTAGAGATTAACTATGATGTCCAAAAGCTTTAGTCTCACCACACATCTTTTAGCCTGCTGAGTAGAGGATTTTGTGATTTGAGACCTACTAGAAACAATAGATTTTCCATCATTTTGAGTGCTTCTAGTACTTTTTTTGGAAACCGTCAATCCAATGCTTCTGTGGGAATTGACTGCTGTATGAGAAAAGAAACCAACCAGCTACAAATATATCAAATTGCATCTTATACTAATGAAAAATTTAAATTCAAACAATAATATGTATATATCAGACTATAAAAGCACAAAATAAAATGAAGAAACAAAGATAATCACGTTAAGGAATTGTGCCAAACTTAGACCAAAACAAATTTATCCAATGTAGGTTAATTTAACCCAAAAAAATTAATGAAACACAAAAATACAACCAAGGAGGAATTCCAAACAAACTTACACGTTCCATTTACCTGCTTGAGCACCTTGATTTGGCTTTGGTTTATTTATTTTCGGAGCACTCTTGGCAGTTATCGAAAGGACTGAGGAAACTGGCTTTGGGGCAGGTATTTTAGAAATTTTAGGCTCCTTAACAGCTGCTTTTGTTGAGCTCACATTTGCAGGTCTTTTAAGAGTTCAAAAAAGTCAAGGTAAACTTTTCTATAAATACATATAGATAAAGAAAAAAGTAAACAAATAAGTTTTCACAAAAATATGCCAGTACTTCCTAACAATTCAATAAAATCATAACTAAGAAGGATATGCAGAAGACATAACAGGCCTCGGACAACCGCTACGCTTAGAACCACTTCTGTTAACATCATGAACTGGAAGCACATTTTGTTTCACCTGAGCAAATTCATATTTAACAGAACCAAAAATTACTTTCATTACAAAAAGAAGGAAACAAAAACTACTTTTATATACATATATATTTGAGAAGAACTAACTAACCACGGAATGAGAGGCTGAAGCGGAACTCTTCTGCAGTAAGCTACTACCAATCTTCTTCTCCTCTTTCTTACTACGATTATTTAATGGCAACTTATTAAATAAATTATTCTCAAGTGCCTGCAAATCCTGTGAATCACTGGATAACGGTTCTGTCTCTTCTTCTATAGCCAACAATTTCTCCCCACTCAACTTACCAAAATTCCCACTAATCAAAGATAATTCCGTCGAATTCAAAACGCCTAACACAAGAGAAAAATTTATTAAAGAAGAATTCAATTCCTTGTTTTCTAAAAGTAACATAACCAAAAAAAATCCAAAAAAAAAAGAAAAAATAATAATACCTTCTTCAGTGAAGAAAGCACGGTCCCAAGCTAAGCTTTTTCTCAGATTATAGCCTCCAGCTTTCTTCTTCCTCTTCATTTGCTGTGGCTCCAAGCTCAGCTTTGTAAGCTCTGATTTATTCACAGCATTGTTAATAATATTCTCTTTGTCAACAATCGATGAAAGGCTAAGGTTTTTCGCTCTCTGACCTGCAAAACGAAAAATTAGGGCATTTAATTGGTAACAGAATCCAGAAAAAGAAAAAAGTACCCAAACCCTAGAGCAAAAACAAGGAAGTGACCTGGGGGATCAGATCTAGGGAAATGGAGAGGGGAGCAAGAGAAACGGTAAGTGTTGGAGGTGGAAACGTCGTCGTTTAGAGCTTGGTGGTTCTGTAAAAGCAACGAATCGTCGTCTTCTCCCGATATCTCCAAGAGATCGCTCTCCATTTGTCTAATTTCTCTAAAAAAAAAAAAATGGAGTGGAAATGTGGAAAGTAATGATTGAAGATTTGACGGTTAAAGCTCAAAGTGTCCCAACTGAAAATCTGAAAGTCACGTTTTGGGGGAAAAGAGGAGTTGATTTTGAGTTGTTTGGACTTTGGACGGCCGTTTTAATTTTAAAAGTGAATTTGGCAAGCGGGATTTGAATGGACGATCGCGTGACTCTGTTTTTTTTTTTAAAATTACGTAAATACCCATGGGAATACCCAGCCCAGCCCAGTTCAGGCCGGCCTTTTACGCGTCTTGGACCTGGGCTTTAAGGGGAAGAATTTATTAGTCTTTTTCTTCCAATTTTGGTTTGAAAATTATGATTTTGTTATTAATTATATTTATTTATACCATTTTGTAAATTTGGTTTTCCCTTTTCATGTAATTTTATGAGAGTTACCGATAAATTCCATCCAAATCAACACTTTTCTCTTTTCAAAGAAAAAAAATTTTGATTTTTTTATAATAAAATTCAGCGAAATTAAACCCTATTAATAAAATTCAATATTAATCATTAATACAATAATAAATTTAATTTTAATCCTTTTTAAATTTTATCATTAAAAATATTTTTATTTGATCATTGACGTTTATTTATCTAAAATATAGTTAAATATATCTATATTATCTATATTATTTTTATATATATAAAGGTTTCTGAAGAATTCATAGATTTATACATGTCCAAGTTTTTTCTTTCCTTCCCATGATTTTTTCCTCTTTTTGTTTTGTTTCTTCTAGAATTTTTTCATCTCTCTCAAACTACCCTATTAGTCTTTTTCTTTCTTTTTTATTTTTTTTTTCGTTTCACATTTTTTTGTCCCATGAATAAAGATGCCTTGTTTCATCTTTTTGTTTAGTTGTTTCTTGAAAATTCTTGAAAGTTCTTTATTTCAAGGGAAAAAGTAAAGAGGAGATAGAGAGAAAGTGACCTAAAAAGCTTTGTTGTATGTTAATATATTACATGAAGTGTCACGATGATGGATTTGGCAAGCATACAAACCCTTTACAATGCCCTCAGCTAAGAAAAAAGCTGAGAAACACTCTCTAGGTTACGTTTTGCTGAGTGAAGTGTTTAGTGCTCTTAATTCTCAATGAATTATGTTGGATCATCTTGCCATTCGAATCTTTGGGTTTAACTTTCTTTCAAGCATTTTTTTTATAAGTTTATGAGTTTTTTAATTTTTTTCTATATTTCTCATTGTATGCAAAACTAATATTAAGAATTTACTTTAGTTTTCCTTTTTTTGTGTCAAAGAAGGCTATCTAAGTAACTACATGGAGGATCTATTAATAATGTGCTAAGATGAGATGGTGGATAGTGTCAAAAAAGTGGAAGAGATCATTGTTGTTAAAGGGGTTGACTATGTTCGAATGGGTCCATTGGATTGTGGTAGCTTGGGTTACTTATGGGACCTAGGTTACAAGAAAGCTAGATATAAGGACAACGAAGAAAAGAATGCTTAACTCGGACTTGAAAGATGATGGAGCTTTTCTTGGGTGGTTTTGTAATGCCGCACGATCTGTCACAAGAGCTCGAGAGGTAAAGGTATTGGATGGTTTTCGTTATTTTGTAGATTAGAGAATTTGAAAATTTTTATTATTTTGTTTAATGTTGTTGGATTAATTTAAAGAAATCAGGATAATTGATTTATGGTGGTATTACTAATGACCAGGTGGTAACAGTCGAGAAATAAGACAAATATGAGGAGAGGATGTGGTTCCTCTTCTGAAGGTGTCTCTAGAGGACCTTTACTTTAAGACCTCAAAGATGACAAGGGCCAACTCAGATCAATGTTATTATAATTTTTTTTTGTAATTTAATTGTTCTATTGATTTTATTATATTTAATTCTACTTACAAGCATTGGTTTTCAAAAGTTTGCTATCCCAATCTTATCCACAATTGCTTTTTCTTTCTTTTTCATCTTTATTAATTCATCTGAAAATTAATTTATTTAAAAATTTGTTTTCATTGTTAATTACAGTAAGTCAATGGAGCAAACAAGAATTAGGTTGTCAAAATTTGAGGTATTTTTTTTCTTTCCCTCTATTTTTTTCTTCATACCAAACAGTATGTTAAGTGATGGGTATTTTATTGAAGTACCAAATATTTTTGTCTTTTGATTCAACATGTTGATGAAGTTGTGGATTCAAAAAAGTATGATCCTGTTAGATATGCTATAAGTTTCTCCAATGGTGTAATTGCATAAATCCTATTTATTTGCTTTCCCTGTACCTTTTTGTTTAGTTAAAACATTTCATTTTTGTAGGTTCTAAATACATCAATAGGCTATATAACTATAGAACTTTTCAAAGATAGTTTTCTGAGATTGTTGACTAATTTTTTAACTTATGGTAAGTTTACCAAGTATACTTATGCATTTTTTTTATTACTATTGCTTAGTGGGAACATGATTTATATTATTTAACATGATTTTTCAATGCTTTTTTTTTTTTGTCTTTAATTGTCTAAATTATTTGTTGTGAGATTTACATATTATTTTATTTTGATTTAAAATAGTGTAATGATAGTATTATTTGGAATTAGGTTGCATGAATGATAGTCGTGTTACCAATATACAAATTTAAACTATTGTTATTCATGCTATTTTGTGGACTTTTTAATTCTCAAATATATATCTATTCTATTTAATATTCCTAAACATTAAGCACATTCATACATACAAAAAAAAAAGACAAAAGAAAAAATAAAAAAAATGGGAAAAAGGGCGAATAAAAGATACATATAGCTATTTGACAAGAAGATCAACAAGTTACACTTTTTTTAGGAGATTACTAACTAAAAAGTATTGATTTGTACGGTTAAATAAAGCCTAAAATAGATAGAGATAGGGATATAGTAGTTAATATTTTAGCTTTGTAGGATCTTCAATTGTTAAGAGGCTTATTAAGTGAAAAGCATAAATCTTTACACTTACAAGAGGTAAAAAGTTGCTGAAAAATGCGTGTGAAGAAAAGCTTTAGCTCTTACATATTTCTAGTGCTAAAAGGCAATGTTCCTATGTGAATGGTATAGAAATAGCAAGAAGTGTGCAGAACAAACTCTGACAAGTACAACTATTCAAGATATACCTAATCATTTAATTCTAATGGTTATTTTACAGTTTAAAAGTTAGCCTGTAATCTGTAAATGCAATTAGATTTAATAATAAAAACGAAAAATAAAGTCAGAATTAGCATCTAACTACTGAATTGTTGACTATATTATTAATACTGTAATAATTAGAATTTAAATTGATCTAACTTTCTTTTACTTAGGTTTATTGAAAGACAACTCTTTAAAATTATTTTTCCCATTCTAACTAGCATATCATTTTATTTGATTGTTGAGTCTAAAAATAATTTTTAAGTTAGATGTTTGCTTTTGTTTAGTTAGTTTCTTCTCCTTGAAGTTTATTTTGAGAACTTATGGATGTTATTTTAAAATAGTATTATATATTACCATTCATTCCATCCATTCCCCTGTCCTACAAGGCAACAAGAAAAAGGGAAATCCAAAGCTTTTGTGCTTTTTAATAGCTGCTACATGATGTTTTATTCAGATTTTTTCTTAAACAACTATAATTGATTTAAAAACTAGGATCCAATTTTGATGGAATGTTATATTTTGTCAGCTCCAATTTTGAAGGAATTTATCCCCAACTCACTCATGAGGTAGATGGTCTTATTTTTCAGGTGATTGAAGAAGATTATTAGATTTCATGTAATTTTACTCTTAAGTTTGTGTTGCTTTATTGACATGGTTATTAAGAAAGACTTATGTTTTTAGATACAACTGGTTATTTATGATTTTTTTTTTTTTGGATAGAGCTAGGATGTCCCTTACGTACCTTGCACTCATGAAGGTATTTTGCAATAGAAATATGCTCAAATAAATTTCGTTGACTTTCTATTTGAGGTTGTTTTTCTTAAATTTCTTTTTATTGTTTTTTTTTTATGTTAAATTTTGGCTCTTTTGGCTTCAAAAATTTGTAGATATTCATTCATAAATTGAAAGCTTTAAGTATTGACAGATTGGCACTGACGATTGTCAACAACTTTTTCTCTATGAACGAGAGAGAAAGAAGTTGATGCAAGGGAATACAGTTGAATTCAGAAGGGCTATGAACTGTGTTTATTCCATTTTTTTGCTTCATTTAATATTATTGCTATTTGATTCTGATTTTTAATATCCTAAATTACTTGTAGATATTCCAAATCTTTTTATTTTTTATTTTTTAGGAAGATTATGTAATATTCTTGGTATTCTGATCATCATGTATAGGCCTGTATGCAGATCAAGACAGATAAGTCGACTTCTAATGATTTCAATACTTTGAAAAAGGAATGTCACATTGTTTATTTGACAAATAGTTAAATTTTTCCTTAGCTATATGGATTGACTAGGCATGTGGATTAGATTTATAGAAATTTATTTTGTTTACACATACTTTTTCACATAATTTTGTGCCTTTTATACATATCCAAATACAAAGGAAAATTACTATAAAACATGTAGATATAACGACTATTAATATATTCAAAATATGAAATGAAGTTTTTGAACCAAAATTAGGTAATTCATAGCTTTAATTGGACAATTTTTTTGATAATATTACTAATAAATAATTAATTCATATTAACTACATATATCACTTCTAAGTTATAACTTAATTATTCTAACAAACCAAGTTATAACTCAATTACTCTAACCAACTAAGTATGAATTGAGCAATAGTTAACATAAAAAAGTAGCTATGTACATATTTGGTCGATTCATAACAGGTCACATACATACTAATGAAAGAACCCTTGTTTGATTCTTGAAAAACAAGGAAATTCAAACTTTCACTCATACTAAATATTGAGTAAACCCAATGCAAAAGACATATAAATCACAGAATCACATTAGTTATTAAGATTTTAAAAATAGCTCTTAGCTCTGTTTTATTGATGATCGCTCTGATATTATCTGTAAATATTTGTATCTAATTTATGAGATATTTTTCGTTTTAATTTAAAAATTTTATGATTTTATCTCATAAAAAATACCTCATAAATTTAAATTTAATCATTTACATATATATATATATTATAATTTCTCAAAATATCTCAATATAAAATTAAGACGTTACAAATAAGGTGCGAATAAAGAAAATGTTAGTGTAAATGGCATTACACTTATACTTTTGAACAGTATTAAATAATGATCGAATTATTAAAAGGATAATATAGTAACTTTAAAGTTGATTTTTTTAATTATATAATATAGATAATTAAATATTTTTCTGGCCAAGGTATTTAATTAATAAATTAATAGCGCATTTATTTTTACCAGAAGCAAATTTCGAAGATATCATTCGATACGAAAACTTTTTTTTTTCAAAAAATTAAAAAAATCTACATTTTGATATTTACTCTTCAGATCTTTATTCTTTAATAAGGGTAGTTTTAAATTTATTTCCCTTATTAAGGTATTTTAAATCAGTTTAATGCCATGTCAGAATTCATTTATTCTTTTTCTCTTTTTAGTAAGATCTCTTTTATATTTTCCAAAAGAAAGTCTCATCTGTGACTAACATTGTTTGAGATTTATTTAAACCCGTAAAAAATTCTTGATGGATTAGCATTAAAACTCGAAAAAAATAAAATCAACCCAATAAAACCTAACCAAAAAAAAAAGCACTATTCATAATTTTTTCATAAAAATTGTTCGATTTAAATTTGAGCAAAAAATTTGAAGTTTTAAAACTTGAAAATTCAATCATTGTATTTTGAAACAGAAAAAGTTTCAAAACAAACGAAACAAAAGTTGTGGTTAAAAATAAGCTTTTTACTTTCTTTGTGATCCTAAAGATTTTTTTTGCTGTTGTTACTGCTGCTGTGCTTGTTGCAAAGCTGCTAGTTCTGGTGGCCTCTCTCACCTTATAGCAACAAGAACTCAAGTACTTTTAGCGACAAGAACTCAAGCACCTTTAACGTGAATTTGACACTGAAACCCTTTGACTTTGCACCAAGTCCTGCATCTCAAATGTGCCCAATCTTTTTTAGCTTGGTTTTCACAATCTTGACAATTCATGTCTCCTTGTCTTAGAACCGTAAAACCTGTTGATATCGCAGACAACTTATCAGAGAGGTTAAGCAATCTACTTCTTCGATTAGGACCCGCTTCAAACAAGGAGTTGTTCACGTTTTGCTGTTGTTGGTAATAATACCGTCGCCATATCTCAAACCCTTTGTTGTATATCTCCTCGTTTCTGTACAAATACAAGTTCCTGTAGATGAAAACACTCAATTTTATCAGTTGGGACAAGATGTTCTGTTCAAAGAAACATGAAGGGATGGGATTCCGTGAAATGAACAAGTTCAACAAGGCTATGGTGGCTAAACAAGGATGGAGGCTGATTAAAAATGAAAACACATTTGTGCATCGTATGCCAAAAGGGAAGTATTATCCAGGAGTTTCGTTCCTTGACTCGAGACTGGGCAACAACCCTTCACTAACATGGAGGAGCTTGTGGGACTCTACTTCTACCCTTGAAATGGAGTGAGGTGGGGGGTTAGGTAATGGCAAATCCATCAAGATATAGACTGATAGATGGGTGTCCTGCAAAAGCAACTTCATGATCCAGTCACCTAGGGGAGAATGGAGCGTTGATGGGACGGTGGAGGAGTTAAGTGACAGATTTGTGGAAAAGGAAGCAGCTGCGATCAGCATGATACTAGTGAGCAAGAGAGAGGATTCTGATGTTCTCGTTTGGCACTATGACAATAGAGGAAGATACTCTGTAAAGAGCAGGTATAGGCTGCTGTGTAATGATAAGAACCATGACTGGATGAGTATAGGCCGCTGTGTACTGATGAGATGTGTGGCAGATGCAGGAACGGAAGAGAAACCCTGTTTCATGCACTTAAACGATGTGAGAAGGTGAAAGAGGTATGGCAGTGTCTGAACTTCTACTGGGACAATCAGTGGAACGACCAAGATGAAGGACAGGGGTAGTTGAAAGAGAGGATAATGGAGATGACCATCGAACATTTGCAACAGCTAGTTGTGACGTGCTGGTCAAACTGGACTAATAGAAACAAAGAAGTACATGGTGAGGAAAGAGCCACAGCAAATCATAATGCAAATTTCATCAGACAATATATTCAAGAATATAACCAAGCCCAAGAAAGAACGAGGAGGGTACAAGAGAAGGAACATCCTCAATGGCAGCCACCCAAAGATGGAAGGAATAAGATGAACTTTGACGCAGCACTGGATCGGGTTGAAAAGAAAGGAGGAGTGGGAGTGGTTATTCGAAAATCACAGGGCCAATTGATGGGAGCATGTACGGTCAGAATTTACAGGGTTGATGATCCTTTCATGGCAGAAGCACGAGGAGCTGTAACTGCTCTAAACTTCGTTTTGGAAATGAGGTTCCACTCTGTAATAGTTGAGGAAGCTGCATTGGCTGTTATGAAAAGGTTGCAGTCGTTAGAATCGGACTTGTCACCCATAGTCCGATTAATCACCGATGAAGCAAAGGAAATAACATGATGTTTTATCAGCTGCGGTTTCATGCAGGTAGGGAGGACAGGAAACAATGTAGCTCACAGCGTAGCAAATTGTGCTCTGACTAGTGATTAGGACATTTACTGGATTGAAGAGCCATCTCTTTTCCTATGTAGTGCCTTACAGGCTGATGTTACTATTGCAAATGAACAAATGAATGAATGGAATATCTTTTCTTCACAAAAAAAAAAAGAAAATGATGATATAATAATGATGTTGATTGAATAAGGTTGCTTTATCATCTTAAAAAAACCAAAAAAACAAAAAAAAAAAAAAGAGGAAAGAAATAAAATGATGAACATGTTCTAAACTTTAAGCTTTTGGCTCACGTTTAAATCAAACAATTTTTGCCAAAAAATTTGGGCAATGCTTTTTTTTTTTTTTTTCAAGTTCTACATTGAACTGATTTGATGATTTTCTTTAAATTTTAGTGCTAGCCCATGAATTCTAATTGGTTTAAGCAATCTCAGGCAAATATTGGTAAGAGATGAGATTTTCGTGGTTTTCCCTTGTGTTGAAATAAAGGGTAGTGAAAAAAATGACTAAAATATTGACATGGCATTTACTTGACTTCAAGTATCCTGTTAAGGAAAATAAATTTAAAATTACCCTTGTTAAGGAACAAAAATTTTAAGTTACTCGTGTGGGAAAAGACTCCAGCCGGTAACAATGGTCAAGGGCTCAGCATATAATAATTTCGAAGTAGATTTTTTTAATTATGTAATATAGATATAATAAATATTTTTCTGACCACGGTATTTAATTAATTAATTAGCAGTGAACCAATTTTTACCAGAAGCAAATCTAGAAGAAGCTATCGTTCGATATACGTAAACCTTTTCGTTTTTCCAAGAACGCGAGAATCTTCATTTTGATATATTTACTCTTAAGAATCTCGCCCCCGACATTCTTGTCAGGATCCGAAGTTGACTCATCAATGGCTACCGCCACTTCCATTGTGCGGTACCCAACGGCCCCACTGTCCCGCAAAGTCACTATCTCCGACCAAAAACCAACGCCATTCGTTCAAATCCCCCAATTTCCTCGAAAACGTTCCCGTTTCACTGGTCTTTTCGCTTCCCTCCACGACAGCGACGGTCGCGACAACAACAACAACAACAACAACAACTTAAGCAATAAGATTACGAAGGCCGTAGGGCTGGAGAAGCTTTTCGATAATTCCCCTTACGACATCGTTTCCAAAGACTCTCTTTTGCATCCCAGTAAGAAAATCCCCATTTTTCCTTTTTAGGGTTTATTTTTTATTTTTGAAGTTATAATTTTACGTGGGCTATTTTGTCATTTTCCACAGGGCCACTTTCTTCAACCCAGTTCTCTAATTTGCTCTCTGATGATTCTTGCCTTCGCGTTGCATATCAGGTATTATTTATTTATTTACTTATCTATAACAATAATTTATGTATTTTTTATTATTTTTTAACGTAGCGGATTGGGTCAATGTTATATTTTAATTTTAATTAATAATTTTTCTATAATTCAATGAAATTGATTGATTGATTGATTGATTTGTTTTGAATTTTAAAAGGGAGTTCGTGGCGCCTACAGCGAAGCAGCTGCTGAGAAGGCCTATCCAAATTGTGAAGCTGTTCCCTGTGATCAATTTGATGCTGCTTTTCAGGTAATTACTTCAACTCTCTCTCATTTTGATAAATATTTTGTTTTCATGTTAGAAAATGAGGATGATTTCGAATGCTTGAGCTATTTGATTAGTCTTCATTAAGAACTGATTTTAATTATGATTTTTTAATTAGGCCGTTGAAAAGTGGTTAGTGGATAGAGCTGTATTACCAATTGAGAATTCGTTAGGTGGTAGTATTCATAGGAATTATGACCTATTGCTTCGCCATAGCTTGCATATCGTTGGGGAAGTTAAGCTTGCGGTTCGTCATTGCTTACTGGCCAATCATGGTGTCAAAATTGAGGACTTGAAAAGGGTTCTCAGCCATCCTCAGGTATGATGTAAGATATAACATGCCTGTTGACTAAGTTTCTCTTGTTGTCTTTTATGATTTTTTTTTTTTCTGAACTCGGTCATGTTTCAGGCTCTAGCACAGTGCGAGAACACGTTAACAAAGATAGGCTTGAGTAGAGAAGCAATTGATGATACTGCCCTTGCAGCAAAGGTGAGTCTTGATCTGGAGTGTAGAAATTGATTTGACATGAAAGATTCTGTAAGCTTTGTAGCTGAATGTGAAGTACATGATGTACTTCCTTTGCATAAGCATGCTAGATGAATTTTATTTCCCCTCTCTCTCTCTCTTTTATGTTCCCTTTTATTTTTTGATCTAGTAATGAATATGGGATGTAGGAAGGAGTCACTTTATCTAGTTAAGTTCAGGTGGCTTCCTTGCTGATCCAAATTTGATCAAGTACATGTACATTTTATTCTCTTGTGTGGATGTAGCAAAGACATAGAATTTGGATTACATGATTGCTTTTGAAATTAATCGCCACCTATTTCATGAGTAGTTTCTAATTTTGACTGATTTAATGTGCTGTTTATGTTTAGTATGTGGCTTTCCAAAAACTAAAAGACACTGGAGCTGTTGCAAGTTCTTCAGCTGCAGAGATATATGGACTGAACATTCTTGCTCAAGATATTCAGGTTTATGTTGATTTTCATCTGTTCATTAGTGGTTTGGTGTTGGATATTTGTCAGAACTTTGAGTTTTGATATGCCTCCCCTTTTTGACAGGATGATTGTGATAATGTTACTCGATTTCTAATGCTGGCCAGGGAGCCTATTATTCCTGGCATGGAGAAGCCATTCAAGGTTAGCCTTTCAATGACAGCAAACTATTTGCAGTCAAAGTACTTGGTCATAATTGTTCCTTTGCTATGCTGCATTTATTAGTCATCATTGCTGCTGAAGTTTTTCTGATGTATGCAATTATTCTGTAGACAAGTATAGTTTTCTCATTAGAGGAGGGTCCTGGTGTGCTTTTCAAGGCACTTGCTGTTTTTGCTCTTCGGCAGATCAACCTTACAAAGGTATTCATTGTTTCTTTGGATTTTTCAAGTCCCTACGTTTGAAAGGTTTTTTTTTCCAGGTTGTATTAACATCCTTTGTTTATTTGTTACCTTTGATCAGATTGAAAGTCGTCCCCTGAGGAACCAGCCCTTGCGAGCATCCGATAACAGCAACAATGGTTCAAAGTAATTTTAGTAAAATATCATTCATATTCTTTTTGCACTTAAATGAAGTGAAGGATCAAAGATGGGTTAAAAATGTTTTTATAGTAAAAGTGATAAATTATATACACCGTTATTTACATTTTACTACCAACCATTTGGGTCACTTGAACAGATTTCATTCTCATTGTTTTATTGTCTTCTAATAGATACTTTGACTATCTTTTCTATGTGGATTTTGACGCTTCGATGGCTGAAGAGAGAGCACAGAATGCCCTAAGACATCTAAAGGTATATTGCTCAGCCTCTTTCATGACCTTTCAAGAGAATTAGATGTTAGATATCTAACAATATGTTTCCTTGGCAGGAGTTTGCAACTTTCTTGCGAGTTCTAGGGAGCTATCCGGTCGATACTACCATGATATAAACAAATTGTTGATCATGGTAAGTATTCAATATTTGAACAAGTTTTGAGGGTTGGATTAATGGTAGGCTTCAACTTCTATAAGATGATGTGGTGGCAGAATTTTGCTACATCATCATCATTTTATAGAACTTTGTATAAATCACTTTTTCAAATTAATTTTTCAGAGCTTTATTAAAGTGCTGAGTAAAATGTGGTTGTTAGGATGGATATCCTTGAGGATTTAATAGAACTAAGACAATTTTGGATCTCTTAGAAAGAAGATCATCCACATAATGTAAATCTGCTTTAGTTCCTTCATGAAATTTTTGTAACTGATTAATCTGAGCCACAATCACTAAGTCATTGACTCTAGTCTACAAAGGTAGACTATAATAAGAATTTTTCTTTTTAAATTGGTGGGCAGTGTTAAGAAAGTTACATTTTACAATTGAGCTGCAAGGAGAGAGTAAGGCAGAGCAAATACAGTAATATTCTTGTTGCAATCAAACAGTGAAGCTGGAATTTTTAAGTTTATATTATTCATAATTGGCTTGGATTTTGAACTTAAACCTTGAAATTCTATCATTGCATATTGATTGATCCAGCTATTGTTGATTCCTGTTCAGTCAGTCACATGAACTGGACAAACCATTGGAGTTTTGAATATCTAACCTTGCTTTCTCTAACTTTTTTTCAGTGCTTGAATGTTGAAAGTAAGGTCTGTACTGGTGAAATGCTTTTACATAAATGAATTATGTCTAGGATGAATGGTGATTATCTAGTTTTTGTCCCTCGATAAACATTGTCTTGTGGAAGATATTGCTGTTGGGTCTCTAAGCATGTAAAGCTTTGGATCTGAGACTTTCATCCTTTTCTGATGGCTAGTACAAGCTATTTTGTTGTTGTTGTTATAGTTGGATGAGCCTAAAGCTAGCTTTAATTTGAAGATATATTCACTCACAATTGTTTAATAAACTTAGGCATAGCTTGAATTTGAGCATAATATTAAATGCTAATTTTGCTACACTCAAAAGTGTAGCTTGAATCCAAACATGACAATAAATGCAAGTTTAGACCTCAAAAGCTGCTAGCCAACCTTACATATGTTTGTTTAAGTTTTGGCCAAATAAGCATTTTTTTTTATTATGTTTGTGACATAATCACACTTTTTGGAAACACTATCCCAACAAGCTTTGATCGACTCAGTGTGATATTCTATTCCACGTGAGTGCGACTTCCTTATTAACAATGTATTCTATAGTTAGATCTTTGCAGTGGACATTTTGTTTTTTGCTAAAACTAGGAACAGATGTGGCCATGGTCAATAGTATTCTAGATGGATGTTGCATATTTTGTTTATAGACCTTGGGCTTTATTGATGCATTTGAAAGAGAGGGTTAGGAGAGCTTTCTGCTCTTGTTGCTAGCTTACCCGGTTTTATATCTATGCATATAGTGGAGACCAACTTAAGGGAGATGGTTAAACATTGTTTTGGAGATTGTTGCAAGACTAATATAACAATTGGATCTTTCATACTACTTCCTTTTAGGGAAAGATTATTTCTGCGGGAAACATATCACCTGCAATTATTGCATTACAATTAATTAATCTAAATTAAAAAATGTCAGGTTCATCTAAATCTTATATGAAGCCCACACTTATATGTGGTGAAATTTTACATAATTTTTTAATATGATTGAATAATTGTAGGATTGTAGCAAAAAAAAAAAATTATAGGTGAAATGAATCTCTGAACAATCTTGATGCCATTGGAAACAAGGAGCAACACCAGTTGTTTACCCTACTAACGGACTCCAAATTATCTCCTACCCCTCTGCCTGTATCTTTCGGGTTCTCTCAAATACTGGACAAACATGGTAGCTGTTGCTATTCATTAATCTTTTCCTTCCTTTTTCTACTTTAGGTTCTAAGTTTGAAATCATTTGAACCTTTCATGTTTCTGTTAGAAAATTTTGCTTAGTAGTATGCACTGCTAAATGGTGTCAAGTTTGTTGAGCTTTTTGTTTCTAACACGACTGATGATACTAATGCAGAAATCAATATGAAGTTTCATTGTGTTACCTGGATCAAACTTATTCATTGCACAGATAGTCAGATACAATTTACTTGTTAAATTGTGGTTGCGTTTTTGATAGAGAGAAAAGGCCTTTGATTCGGCTGATTGATAACCAAGCCACTGCATCGCGGTGCCCTGCAAATGGATGAATGGTTACCAATATCACTTTGGCTGTATGGCTTATGATATTTTTTAATTAAGCGAAAAGCAGTTTCTTACAAAAGAAGTGATCTTCTATTCGTTTTTTTTTTTTCTCTCGTATTTTCTTGAGAAATGAGATTGATTTTTTGTCTAACTTGCTGGATCTGCTTCCCTATTTTTTGTTCTTATCCTTGTCTTATAATCTGAAAACTGCTTTCAGCCTTCAGGTCAAAGAAATGGCAATTCTTTTTTTTTTTCTTTTTCTAATTTAGCATTTGGCTTAATAAATGTTGCATCTTTGTCTTCAAATAAATAGGTTCCAATGTTATCATTTGATCATCCTCAACTTTATAAAAAAATGTTGATATTTTTTTCTTGCATGAAAGTCTAAAATTGAGCTGAGTGCGAGTGTGGGCGAGAATGACAGATTGAGAGAGTTTGAGATTTGCGACAGAATTTTACTATGCCAAAGATGGAGAAACGGTGGAGTCCAGAAAATTATTTTATTGAAGTTTTGTTAGGTATATATTTTTTATTTTTTCTTTTTATTTATTTTTAACAAGCTAAAATGCATTTATTAAAATGACCTCCAAATTTCGACACATAAAATACTTTGCAATGTTGTAAAGTACGCACGGGTGTCATATCCATACGATTTAACACTTTTTTAAATATATAAAAAAAAAAGGAAAAACAATGTATGGCAGGTATATGAAAATTAAAGAGACTGGGCGGCGTACGATTTAACACTTTAATTAAAAAAAGAAAAAGAAAGCGGAAAAGAAATAAATGTGTGGCAGGTATTTGCAAATAAGAGTAGACTAGGCGGTAAGAATCTGGCAGACAACTCCATCTGAAGCAGGCAGAAGATTAGCGTTGTTTAGTTTTTGCAATTAAAAACTGTTCTCGTCCAAACGTAATATTAAATAATAAAGTTTTTCGAATTTTTAATTTAAAATTTTGATTTTTCAAAACAAATTAAAAAACTTTTTAAGATATATTTTTACAATGAAAAATAAAATTTTAAATAAAAAATTATTTCATTATTTTATGTTTCCAATATTTTATTATTATATATATTTAAATATTTCAATTATTTACATATTTTTTCATAATAATATCACATTTAAAATTTTTAATAATCTTTTTTATTATATTTTTTAAATATATTTTTTAATTCAAAAATTTTTTCAACCCTAATAATAATATTAAACCAAATTTCTCTCATTGTTACGAGATCCGTAGGGTTGAGATAAAAGTATAATTGATCGAGTTTGAGTCGATATAATAATAAGTTTAAGTTTAAATTTGATTTTAAATTCGATGTTTAAAACTCGATTTATAATCGATCGAATTTTATTTTTTTAACTCGAGCTCGATTTGAGATATAAATTATATTATTCGAATTAACTCGATTAAGTTTGATTAATATGAAAAAAAAATTTAATTTTTATATTCGATAAAAAATTAATTATTTGTACTCGAATTCAAGTTTGAAATATTTTATCAATTAAAATATATTAAAATATAAAACTCAATTAGACTCATTACTCAAATTTGATATAAAAATACTTAAATTTAGTTCGATTAATAAATTGAATTATTCGAATTCAAACTTAATTCGATAATAATCAAAATAAATTTAAGTTTTATTCGATTTAAATTTAAATAACTTATAAATTTTAATGTATCATTTATATTCTTAAATCGGGATCCTTCAACTTTAGGGGCCACCCGATTTGGAACTGACAAATTGCATGCCATTGTGGCCTCCAGGAACTAGCCCATAACAGTCAAACCATAGATATAAATATCATACAAATACAATGTAATTAGTTAGTTCCAACACACAACATCAAAATTTTATTTCTTCAAACTCTAGGCTATACTATACACACTGCACCAAGTACCTGCCTTAATGGAATGCTTAACCATCATCGGCCAATCCTAACCTCAATATTGCTTGTGGTCCACCCTTTTTTTATAACATTGTAATGATAATTAGAACAATACTACTCTCCCGAACTTCCCCTTTTTTCCTTTTTGGTTCTTTTTAATTTTCAAGATTCCTTTGCTGTGAAGCAATAGATCAATTTCATAAATCAAAATATTGTAATTGAGAAAATTGAGTCAGATTTGTGTCAAATTACTTCGAATCGAAGAAATTTATACAATTTTGTATTAAAATAATTCAAGATTGAATCATTTAGAATTTAAATTATTAAATTTTAAATTCCAATCAAATTAAGTTCAAATAATTTTAAATTAATCTTTCAAGTCATTTAAGATTAAATTGTTTTCTGATCATATTGAAAGGATTTGGATTTTAATTTGGACAAATTGAGTGGGCTCTAGGGTCACCCCCTCTTCCCCTATTGCAACGATATATTGGAAGTATTACTTCAAACTTCCATGTGATTTTGGTATGAAAATTGGCTCATCCTTATATCTAATTTCCAATTAAGTATTTCAAGAAGAGATCAAAGGGAAAGTTGTGGACTACACCTATTTATAATTACGTCCCAAAATGTAGTAATTAACATAGAGTCTCTCATACATTGTATGTCTAACATTCCAAAGTCTAGTTCCCTATAATACATATATGCTTAAATCAAAGATAAATAAATAGATTCATGGGACAAAATAAAAAGTATTTACAATATTTCTTCTCATCTTTGCAATTAGGTAAAATATGAATTATTTCGTCAAATTTCCTTCCCTTGACCTTACTACATATTTAGAAAGAAAGAGTCATCGTAAAATTGAATGTAGTGGGATTCCCATCCTTCAATATTTCGTCAAAAAGTGCCGACAATGGCTCAACTTGCATATGGCTAGCTTTGGCAAAACATTGCACCCACGCTATTAGCTTAACATAGCTGACACCGCCATACTAAGCTTAGGTCTTTGCCATCTTAGGCTCTACAAAGTGCCAGAATGTGAATCATGTGCCCAAATTAAACATTCATTGTTCCCTTTAAAATTAAAATTAATTGTCCAAAAAAGAAAAGGGTATTACTCTTAGCATATCTCATTATCTTTTCTTTCTTATACGTGTGAGCTTGTATGGGCATAGATACATGTGTGTTTTTGTTTTTGTTTTTGAACCGACAGCTACAATAGTAGAATGTAATTTGAAGACAACTCAATGTTAAATTTTAAGATTCTTGTTCTAAAATTTTAAAATTGAATCTCGAGTTAGTAATGGCATTGTTAATTACAAAATGATATCTATAAATATTTTTATATTTAAATATATACTTTTAAAAAATTATGAATTTTTAAGCCTAAATGATCAATCTTTAAATATGTTTTTTAAAAACCTAATTGAGCTTGATCCGATCCGTAAGAAAGTATTTTATATATAAGTTTGGAATGATGCATGCGTTGGACTTGGGTGCTAACTGTGCAAGCACATATCACGTTTGGAAGCACCATATCTCACATACGTTACCGATACAAGGGATGATGAGTTGCTGTTATGGAGTGTTAAAATAGCATACCGTAATGATACCCATTATTTGGCAACGGATGTTTGTTTGCAGATCCGTTACTGGAACTCTGTCCTTATACATAAACCAAGACAAAATCAAAATCCGTTACCAATAATTAATGACCATGACGCCCTCCCATCTCCCCTTTCTCGTGCCTTGCGTGATACTTTTCTCTCTTCTTTCATTTTTCTCATGTGTCAAATGAACTTCCAATTCCAAATTCCAACCATCTTTTTTTTTTAAATTATATTAATTTTAAATAGTTTTGAATTTAAATATTTTATTTTTACTATATAAACAAATTTTAGTACTTCAATAATCTTGATTCAATGATAAATGTATATATATATTTTTTTCAAGAACTTAATTCAAATCTTCTTTCTCTCAAAATCAAAAGAAAAAAAAAATCTATCCTATAAATTATGAGTTATTTTTTATACACTTACAGTGTAAATTTTAATTCCATAAATGAAATTAAAAAACTAACATATATTTATTTTTTAATTAATTTTTTAATATTTAATATATGTCACTCAACTAATTTTACCTTGGAGAGTTTTTTTTTTTTTGTCAATATACTATTAGTAAATTATACACTGTCACCTTATTAATGAATAATTTTTAATAGTTAAAAGTCCTAAAAAATGAATATCTTTAAATTTTAATTATTAATTTTAAATAATAATTAGAGAGGCTTTCCTTTTATATATATATATATATATATATATATATATAGAGCAAAAACTTGATCACAACTCAAAATCCTTCAAGTTTTAGATCATAACATTGTTTTCAATCTCTGTTAATTATTATTATTATTTTAGATAATTTACTATGACGATTGCCAATTAGTTTCTTGTGTCCACCAGCATACATTAGCCACCTCCTGATAAGGACATTTAATTATTCAAAATTCTTCATTAATAAGGTAATAACGTGTAATTAATTGATAGTATATAAAATGTATACATTATTAGTATATGAAACGTATATATTATCAATATATCAAATGTAAATTAAAAAAATTATTATTTTATTATTATTTTTATTGTCTATTATTTTATTTAAATCCAAAAAAAAATTAAATTATGATTGTGCTTTACTTGATATGGAAGGAAGCGAGGTCAAAGAAGAAGAAGAGAGGGATGTGGGATTTTTTGGACAGTGGAGGGTGAGTTACGAAAAAAAGTTATAAGTACCTGTATATAAATTTAAATTTATTACATTTTTTATAATTATTTTCATAAATTAATTGAATTAAATTTAAAATTTTGTTATTAAATTAAATATATATTTATAATTAATCAAATATTTAAATTTTAAATTAATTAGTTAAAAAAATGAAAAGATCTTAGTAATATATAAGAAAAAGTAGTGTTGTTATGGATCAAAACCAGCACACAATTTTAGAAGAGAATTTTTCATCGTAGTCATAGAGATTCTTTGGAGTGTGAATGCTGATTGCTGGATTCTTTTCTTCACCGAAGATGCTACCATCCTCCATCTCCCTCTCGCTCTCAAGCACAATTTTCTATTCTACTTTCACTTTATTATTATTCAGTGTGTTCTTTGACTGATATAAATTTGACCAGTCAACTAACTTGTCTGATCCCTATGAATCTGATGTATCCATTTGTCTCCCCCTCTGTCCCACCACAATCTTTGAACCAAAGTGCCTTTGATCATCAAATCATCCTAAACCCTTTGTTTTCCTCTTTTTAGCATTCGGAGAATTACAGAGCATAGTCAAGGAAAATTTTCTTAGGATCCAAAGGATATCTCAGGAGTGGGGATCAGCCATTGTTTTGTTTATGATTTTCTGGGTTCTGACAGAAATGATGACAAGTTGGAATTTTGGTTGGTAACTTTGATATTCTCGCCGGTCCGAGAATCTTTGTCCATAAATAGAAAATATAAACAAAACAAGGATAAAAAGAAAAAGGTAGGTTACCTAGATTAATTTTTAGCCATTTCATCTTTGTTTCATTGACTGCATCATTTTCGGCGAATTGCATGTGGATTGCAAGCTTCTCTTCTTTTGTCATGGGTTTTTTTTTAAGCATACAGAATTCGTCTTTTAATCTTTAATTTTGGTGCTGTAATCTCTTTTGCCTGCTCTAATTTTCTTTGAATATGACTTCCGGCACACTATAGGCAATAATAAAATAAGAATGGTGTTTTACAAATTCTTAGATGAAGGCCATCTCACATTCTTGGTGATCAAGAGGAACTCCATCGTATTAAGTTTCACTTTGCTACAATATTTAGAAGTTTAATCATGAAACGATATCATAATACGATAAAAATTTCTCTAATCATGTTATCAAATAAACTCTAATAAAATTACATATAAATTAAGAATTCAATAATAAAACAATATCATGAGACGGTAAGGGTCCTTATCATCATGTTATCAAATTAATCATAAAAAAGTTAAATTATGACAGCTATCTTTGTATTTTAAAGAAAATTTTAATTTTAATTTTTCTATTATAATTTATAAAAATGTAGTTCTTATAATATTTTGATTTAAAAATTTTAATTCAATCATTAAATTCATCAAATTTTTACCATTAAAAATATTGATGTAGTCTTTAACTTGATAACTATGCATTAATTTTGTTGACGTGACATTAATTTTATTGACATGAAAATATAGATGAATATAATCAAATGTCAAATAATACAAATGATACATTTTACTTACATGAAATTTAAATTTTATTCCTTCTAGTATTATTCACAAAAGTCTCATCCTCGTGCAAATTGAATTGAATAATGTGTTTAATTACTAATGCAATCAATTCCTGAACATTACTTTTTCTGACGTAACTTTTATCTCTTTAGAAAAATGTATGAAAATTTTTTAAAAAATCCTAATGTTTAAAAATATTCAAAAATTATAAAAATCCCCCAAAATTTAAAAATAGGATTTTTAGGTTTTTTTTTAATATTTAAAATATTAAATTTATTTTTAATATTTAAAATATTAATTTATATGTAATTTTATTAGAGTTTATTTAAAATGTGAAAATGCCAAGTTAAATTACTAAAAATAGAAAAATGAATAAGATTCCATAAAATGCACTAGGTTGTATGATTTGAGCTACAAGAACGTGGCATTTTTTGAACCAATATTACACCGATAATTAGCTATCATTGGAAATAATTATGTTGTGGACCAACTTAATGAAGTTATAGTTGTTGATGAGATTATCTGTTTAATCCAACATCCTAAGTTTTCTACCGTACATATGAGACCACAACTTGTTTGTATTATGTTGTCGTCACCTGATTTATGAATACATGTAATTATTATTTTTTTTTGGTTACATCATGTAATTATTTGGTACATAGCTTTTCATATCTTATTATTATTTTTTTTTGTAAAAAAAATTATAATATAAGATAAAAAAAAAGATTATAGGTGTTAAAATTACATTTTTAATTAATTTGTATGTGATAATAGGATTGTTCAGAGACTTACATACTCTATTTGGTATGAAAGAAAGAAAAAAAATGAAAAATGATGGAAAATGTTTAGATCTGATGATCAAGTCACAAAATAACATAATATCTTTTTGATTGATCAAAATAACATATTATCACGTAACTTAATTATTAAATTAAAATTTTTCTTTCTTTCCTCCTCTATTAATTTCCCTCTTACCAAACGGATTAATGTAAAATAAGCCACAATTAACTATACATATAAATACTCCTAATGTTGGAACATCAATTATTTTGGCACCTAAAATTGAATGTAAGATTCAAAAATATTAAAAGACTACTTAATTATTAAGTCTTAATGTAGAACTACCATTTGTGTATACTTGAACATATAGCCTAAAATCTAGACATTTAAGATTGAAAAACATGACATTAACTATCACAAAATTTTGTATAAAAATGTGTAAAACATTTGAAGGTGAGTGAGACTATACTAAAAAGAAGGTTAAAAAATTGGACCACATTTGAGGCAAAGTGATGAGAAAAGCAAACTCCATGGTGGGTAGCTTAGCTAAGCGGTTGTAATATATATTTTCGTATTGCATTATGCATCAAGCAGATGAAGATGAAGATGAAGATGACGATGAGGTGAAAAGATCCTCCTGTCATTGTCACCAGTACTGTTTTTGCGGCCCCTATCCTTAGCCAAATGTATGGATCCACATCATGAGAGCCTTCAACTAACACAAACACAAGCCACGATCAAAATCAATTCCAACAGCTGGACCCCACCACTATTAGAATTAATTCCACACATCAAAAAAACATTGTTTTGTTTACATTTCTATCTTATAGCTACCCATTTCTTCAATGACCAAGTTGCTGTATTGCAATTTGCATGGGTATATGTGTTTCATTGTTCTGGTTTTTCTTTTTAAATAAATTTGAATCTTTTAGTAATTTGGTTAGAGATTTTTTCAGGTTTCATTAAATTTAATTTTTTGAATGATTTTAAGAAATTTTTTTTTTTTTTTTACAAAAATTAAATTTTGATTGATAAAAAAGGGGTTTCCTCTCTTTACTAGCTATACGTAGGTATGAAATTGGTTTTTATTGACATGGGTTTAGAAAATTAACTTAGATATTCTATATGAAGGTGGCATTAGGTTTAAACTTTTAGGGGATGTAAATCAACAAATTAAAATTGTTCAAAACTCAACTGGTCAATCAAAATTTGTTCAAACTCATTAATTAACCACAATAAAACTTCTAATAAATGAAATTAATTTTGATAGGGACTCTAGTTTGAATTTAGAGTTACTTAGCTCATGAATGTAATTAATGAACCAATGGAACTAATTAAAAAAAATGTTATAACATCATATGATTAAAGATAAAAACCTTTATCTTTAAAGGGAATATTTGTAAGCTTGTTTAAAGTTAATTTTATAAACTTGTTATAACATCATTTAATATAAATGTAAAGAGAAAATCTTTCATAAAGAATTTTTTAATTTATTGAAATATTCAATGTAATATTTAAACTTTAAAAATTTTTAATATAATATTTGAAATATAAATTTGATAATTAATGTGATATTTATTTTCAACGTAATTAATTTTATTTGACAAAAAAAGTAATTAACTCCAAATAGTGACACGTAAAAAATAAATAATTTTGAAATTATCATATTAATTAGTAAATTTATAATTAATATATTATATTAAAATTTTTTAAAATAAATATAACATTAAATATTTTAAAGTTAAGCAATTTTGATATTTATAACTTTAGCGTCCCATGATTATATGACATTTAATTTGTTGAATCTATGGGTGTAACTGGAAAAACACACAAAATTGTAATTTTAAAACTTTAATCATAATAATTTTGATAAACAAGTATTTAAGCAATAAATTTTGTATATCACATGTTTACTTAATTTAAAATTAAAAATTTAATAATATTTAAGTATAGAATTAATATTATACTATTATTAAAATTTTTGATGAGTTTGATGTTATGAGTCAAGTATTGATATCAATTCAATTTAAAAATACTAAAAAATAAAATATTTAATTTTTTTGGACCACTCTATAATAAATATTTAATTAAAAAACATATATGATATTATAATGTACAAAATAATACTTACATTATCAGTTAATATAAGTATTTGAATTTTTTTAATTCTTAATCTGTATTTGAATTTTTATTTTAATAATTATTTGATCGAAAAATATTATGTGTTTAAATTTTTTTTAAGTTCACAAATTTTAAACGTTAACCTCAATAGCAAGATAATTCAAAGTTCAATGGACATAAATTCTGGATTTTTTTTAAAGAAGAGAGAGAGAGAAAAAAAAAAACTCGGTTGCTTTTTGTCCCAATCTTTTCGAAACACGCGGCCTATGCTAGTCCTTTTCATGTTTTTGTGTGAATGAGTCGCAGAGGTTTTGGCGATGAGAGATTGCTTTTAGGGGTGGGAAGGTGCTGCTGCTGCTGCTGCAGTGCTGCCGGATGGAGCCTGGAGGTGTTGTGGCGATGGGTGGTGGGCGGTGGGGACCGCAACTCCAATGGACCCCATGGAATAGTTGAATCCACGCCAGAAAGGGTCCCACTGAGACAAACCCCAAAGGCAAAGAAAGCACTAGGCTTTTCTTTCTTTGATGATGATAATAATAAGAACAAGAGTCCGTTGTAGCAGAAGAAAAAAAAAAATTTTTTGTGATTTCTTCAATTTATTTTTTTTTTAAGTTACAAAAGCTTTCTCTGCGGGCAAGCCAATCACATCCATCATCTCGTGCGGGAAAAATCATTACATTTTCTCCATCCCTTAAACAAATAAAAAAAACTAATTTATTTTCTTTACTATCTCTCTTGGGGGTCTTTGCTTCATATATTTAGAGGGGTGTCCCTATTTTCTCTACACTTTGCTTAGCTTTGCTTTGCATGAGAGGAGTTGCTAGCAAAAACAAAACCATTTCTCGTCTTCTCTTTTCATCATACTATACTTTTCGGTCTCACTCTCTGGTTCTTTCGTACAACTACTTCTCTTCTTGTTGAAAGAACCAAAAAAACAAGTTGAAATTCTTTTAGAAGTGTTGGGTATTTTTCTTTCTTTTTGTTGCATGGATGGATCCTTCAAGAGGACAACACCAGGTATATATATGAATTATGATAAAAGAAAACAAGTTTTTTTTGTTTCATGATGTAATAATGCTTTTGTGAAATGTGAACTTTACCTTTTTTTTTTTGTCCTTCTCCTTCTCCTTCCCTTTCTTTTTTTTTTTTTTTTTGTTGTCTGAATATTCAAAAAGATGTGATCTTCACTTATACTCCATAACTAGGAGTACTTCTTTGTGAAGATCAAAAGCAAAGGAATGAAAATGAAAATTTAATTGTGGAGCTTTGTGTTTATGTATGTTCTTTCATGAAACAATTATTGTTTTTTTTTTCTGTCATAGTTCTTCTGATTTGTTTGAACTGGAACAAATTTTAGTCTTGTTTTTTTATTTTTTAGTTTTGTTTTGATGTCTTGATTGATAAGATAAGATTCTTCTACATGCTTCATTTGGGTGTAATTAATAAACTTATAGGAAAAGGAAAAGAATCATAATTTCTTGTCATTAATTCATGTTTAAAACCAACTTTTTTTAGTGAATGTTACAGGAGAAATTGAATTAAAGCCTCTAAACTTTCCAAATTTCCATCATGTATATATTAATCTGTGCATAGTATATTTGAAAGTGTCGGCACACACAAATAAATATGTACTAAATGAATAAAAATATCACGAACTTGTATAGTGAAAAATCGATTTAAGAACATCATTTATTTCTTGCAATTGGGGCTAATATATGTCTTCAAATTTTTTCATTTTGGATCAATTAATTCAGGAGATGCCTAACCCTTCATTGGAAAACATGCTGGTTTGCTCAAAAGGACAGCAAGAGAGAAAGCCAAGGCCTCAACCAGAACAAGCTCTCAAGTGCCCAAGATGTGATTCCACCAACACCAAATTCTGTTACTACAACAACTACAGCCTTTCTCAGCCAAGGTATTTTTGCAAGTCATGCAGGAGGTATTGGACAAAAGGAGGCACACTGAGAAATGTTCCAGTGGGTGGTGGTTGCAGGAAGAACAAAAGATCATCATCCTCATCATCAAAGAGGAGCCAAGACCAACCACTAACACCCAATACCAACCCACTAGGTAGCCTCCCGCCTTTGAGTTATGACACCAATGACCTCAGCCTGGCCTTTGCTAGGCTTCAAAAACAATCTTGTGGGCAATTAGGGTTTGATGATCATGACCTTTCTATTCTTGGAGACCCTAGCCTTAACAGTAGTTCAGCTGCCAATCCTGCGTTTCTTGATGTACTCAGAAGCAACTTTCTTGGAAACCAGAACAATTTTCAGAATTTTTACTATGGGTTTGGAAATGAGAACATGGGGGAGGCGGACAATGGTGGTGGAAATGTAGGTGTCAGTGGGGAAATGATGCTACCATACAATAATGAAGAAATGATTAATGCAACAACAACATCATCTGTGACAGTTACAACAATGAAGCAAGAGTTGTGTAATGGTAGAGAAAGTGAGAATAGACTCTTATGGGGTTTGCCATTGCAGCTCAGTGGAGATCATGGTAATAACATGGCTGATTTTGATTCGGGAAGAGAAAGCTGGAATGGACTCAATTCGTCTTGGCATGGACTTCTTAATAGCCCTCTATTGTAGAAAAATGGAGTGTTTTTTTTCTTCTTTCTTTTTCTTAATGTCTGCAAGAAGCAAAACAAACGCTTAGAGTTTTCTTCTCATATCAAAACTGATATTTCAGTTTTTAATCTCTTTCTGAGTTTTTGTGTTATAGGAGATTTGATTCACCAGAATCATCAGTATTTCCCATTTGTGTTTTTTTATTCTCTTTTTATCTTATTTGCTGACCAATAAGGCAGTTCCAGAGGTAAATATCACATGATTTCCATTTTGGAGAAAAGCATGAATGACTGAGAGTGATGGCTCATAGTTTCTGTGGTCTGAAACTGTCTGAAGTATTTTAAAATTGGTTAGTTGCAGGACTTCGGATTTTAAAACCAGTTGGTGTTTCCTAGATATTCTATCATCATTGCGTCTTATTCCTTTCATCTAGATTCTAGGAATGTAACAACAGATTATTAATTTTTTTTTCATCGAATGGATTCGAATTGATTAAAAAGAAGTGAAAAAATAATTGTTATTATTTTTATAAATTTAATATAAATAAATTTATTCGAATCCATTAAAAAAATTGTATTAAACAAAGTTAAAATTTCAGTGAGACATGAAAGCACTAATCTCGGGATGGATATGTATGTCCTCAATTCTCTCAGCCGACCAAATCTAAATTCAGATATGGGCGTGAGGGAATTGCCAGCTTAAACTATCATACTAAAATAATGTTTGAGCATTGACATTTGGACTTGGTAAGAGTGGGATTATGGTTGTATAGCTCATCATCATATTATTTGGATAAATATGGGCCCTGACATTAGGATTTGAGATTTGAGGGAGTAGGCTATTTGAACACTTCAATTGAATATTTTCAAGGTACATGGCCCTTGGCTGCCGTACGCCCGTGTCTGCATTCATATCATAGTGGGTTTATCGGAAAACTATATCTTAAATCTAAATGCATAGTACCCAATGCTGACCCCTTATTAGCAAGTTATAAAATTGTTCACGTTGGTCTATTGATAAAATTTTTAATTTTTAATTTTAGAATATAAATTTTAATCTACATAATATTAATTAAAAAAAAGTTACTTTCTCTGTTTCATTTTTTTTTGGGATATCTTAAAATTATATTTTTTTATTATCTAAAATTCTTATTTTTTTATAGTTTAAAATTATTTTTTATGATTTTTTTATTTTTTTAACATTAAAAATTATAAAACTTTAATTTCATAAAAAAATTGTAATTTTAATATTAAATGTATTCAAATAAAAAAATTCCTTGAAAATTAATACAAAACAAATAAATTGAGATGGAAAGAATATAAAATTAGAGATAATCTCTTTTTTTTTTTTTTTCAATAATGTCACTTAATCGCATTGGAAGATGATTTTAGCACTCCAATGTGACAAAAATAAACTTCTAAATGCACCTAAATCGAAATGTTGTATTTAAGTTACGTGTTTTAAAAAATTCATTAATATCAACTTCTAACCGATACATTTGTTTTCTTTTAAAAAAAAATTATTAAGATAAGCTGTGAAATAAAGCCCAAATCAGTCAATTTCCAACAAAGACAAATCTCTACAATTTGTGTGGGAAAAAGAAGAAAGTACGTTCGTATTTATATAATGGTGCTTTCACTACTTAAGAATATCGTGCATTTGATTTGTTTTTTTTAATTCTTTTTATCAGTCAAATTTTAGTAATTTTTTCATGGGGGAGTGTGCCCAACGCTCAGCTTCTGAGTATTTTCGCCCTGAGATTGAGTCTTACGGATTTAGATTTTGGATTTTAATATATTATAATTAATTAGGGAATTAACTTAATTTCGTGTCTCACACTTGATTAATATGTGAAGTGATGCTTATTGTTCAATATCCATTTGGAGCAGCAGTTTTTGACAATTTGCTTTACCTTGTCCACAAGAGCGGGGAACAAGGGTAATTGGCTAATGTTTTCTTGTTTAAGGAATAAGTGCTACTTTCCCTTTTATGACGGCGACTTTCAATGTTACGTTCAGACACCAATGCTGTTTACTCTGGAAATTTTGGACCCAGTTTCTTCATGCTCAAGGGATTCAAAATCCAGAGCCAAGAAGAAAAATATTGAAGGCGAAATTTGTAAACTAAATGGAGATTTCTCCATTGCCCTGTTTAGCGGATGGTCTTACAGTTGATGAAAGATAGGCCTCTTAGCTTCTATCGAATAGTAACTTGTTTAGGAGTTCAAGTATTTAGATTAGTAATTGATGTAAAATTTTCATGTTTCAAAACTAAAGTTTGATTAACAGTCGTATGATTTGTTAATAAAGTATTAAATTTTTTACTTCAATGATTAAATTTTAAATCTTGATAACTTCAATTACAAAAAAATGAGGCTTGAATCTTTCTTTATAAAAAAAAAAAAATAGCAACTTGACTTGGGGAAAGGCAATCGTAAAGGTCAATGGCAACCTCATTTGTCATGGAATTATTTAACTTCAATTATGATTATTTATTTTTGAGATTAATTTTCAGATGATGATATATTTATTTGACTGAACAAAAACTAATTAAAAATAAACTTATTAAGATTTTGATTTTTAAAAGAGAGAATTTTTTATTTTTATAGCGAGAGAAAAATTGAAAAAAAAAAATTTAACCAGTTTTTCTGACATTTTATAAACATGTATCCCCACTATATAATTATTTTCAGACTCGCTCTAGCAAAAGACAAGTTAGAGTTTTAGACACAAATTTTGTCAGATTCAGGCATATCCGCACTCAAGTCCATTTAACTAAACTGGATTGGACGGAGAAACAAGCTTTGCAATCTTCTGTTTCACCAATTATTGGATATAAGTGAAACAAATAAAATAAACATGGACAGACAGGATTTTTTTTTTTTTTTAATTTCAGAATCCAAGAACTAGGCTTCTCCTTCTCCTTGAAGTGGGTGGACCAATGGATAAGGCATCTGATAACATAATCCCTTGACAACCTCAAATCTGCCCCAAGCGAGGGAATGTCTCCAAATTAAGCAATCACCACCTCATTTTGTTCTACTATTGTTCTTTTATTTCAGTTAAATTATCAGAGTTAATTTTTTTCTTTGTTTTTGTTAAAACTTTTTAGCTTGGAACTTTTCATTTTAAATATTTGATTTAGTTAATCTTTGTAAAATATATATCATCACCTTTTTCAATCCGGGGTCTTTACTTGCAAAAGGAGCTGTTATGGTCCGGTCATGGTGTAAATAACCCAGAAACAACCATATGCAAGATGCATGCAATCCAAAAGGAATACTTGTTTCACATGCGAGCTCCATCGAAATATGCGGCACTACACAACTTACCGTATATCACAGCCTCATTGCACTTTGAAGCTGATGAGTGACGACTATATTAAGCAAGCAGCTTAACAGAATAACTATGGAATCCAAATCCAAAATCACAACTTGCATTGTCAGGAGCTAAAAGTTTGATCCTGTAAGCACAAGGTAATGACACCCGCATTTGACAAATTCACAGAAAAGAAAAAGAAAAAAGGGAAAGAAAATCTGCTATCACCAGTGTTCTTCCATCATCATAATATAACTAAGAAGCTTCAAAATAGTGCTTAACGTGAACTTCACAGCAAAGAGACTTGGCTGGTCTCCTGACCGAAGCATCTGTCCCAAATTAATAAGGGGAGAAAACTCGGTTAGAGAAATATAATGAGATAGTAAGTAAACATAGAATCTACGCATTTTAGGGAAAAAATATTTTTAGCATGCCTCATGGTGTTCTACGTCTGTGGCTTCTTCCACAAGACCCCAATCTTCTTTAGCATGTTCCCGTTTTTCTTCTTCAGCAAGTCATCATCCATACCTTCAGTGTAAGGTGAGCTAACCTTTCCTGAAACTGGATTATAACTGCTATCCAGTGAACAAGTTCTCTCCATGAACTTCCCATTACTACCTGAAAGCATTGCAATAGCTGCCTCTGCAGCCTTGCGCCACTGGTCACATTGCACGCTTACCCTTCTCAACTCAGCCTCCATTTTGGAGTTAGTAATCTGTGCAGCCTCAAGCTGTTCAGCCACCCTGGCAGCTCTCCTGTTATTCTTATCTGCCTCCTCCATTGCAAGCCCAAGTTTCAGAATAGCATCTCGCTCTGCAGCCCTCACCACCTCTAGCTCAGTGGCCACCTTATTGATTGATTTACCTTTGTCCATTTCCCTTTTACTGATTTCCAACCTCAGCATCTCATTCTCCTCTGATATATTTTGATGTTCTGTCTCCTTATCCATCATATTTGCCTTCAGATCAACAACAGCTTCCTTCAATACCTTTAGCTCATTTTCAAGTTCTGATTCTCGCTGACATGACAGGTTTTTCTCAAGCTTCATGTGAAGCTCTTTATTTTCCTCTGAAATACACTGCAACTCAGTTTCCTTATCCATCAGATTTGTCTTCAACTCAGCAATATCAAAATTTGCTTTCTCTAGTTCAGCCAACAGCTCAGCCTCTCTCGAGCTTGCTTCAGATTTTATCTGCTCCACCAGTTCATGAACACTCTTTATCTGTAAAGTGCTTTGGATTTGTTCTTCATGGCATTTAAGCTCAGCAGTTTCAAGAGCACTTCTTAACCATGCCACCTCAGACTTCAAAAAGGAAATCTCTGCTTCAAGCTGGTGATATTCCTCAGGTTTCTCACTTTCTCCAGCTTGATGCTCAACAATAATACGATTGCCATCAGACTTGAGGGATAGGCTGCCACTAGCATCAATTAAGCTTAACTTAAGTCTGTTAACAAGTCCTTCCAATGAATAAACACGTTCCCTTGACTGGTCTAAGTCTGAAGCAATGGAGTTGTAAGCTTCAATGGCCTTCATGCCTTCTGACCTAAGTACCTCAACAGTCTTTTTCGCAGCTTCTAGTTGCAGCAAAGTTTCACTAGCCAATGCTTGGGCCTGAGCTTCCGATTCATGGCTATCCTTTAGCTGGTTTTTCATGTTTGTTACAAGAGAAAGAGTTTCTACAAGGTTTCCTTTTAAGCTGTGGAGCTCCAAATGTGCTGATTCTGCTTGCTTGGTTTGTGCAGCCCCAGATTCAGTCACCATTTCAAGCTGATCCCTAAGTTGCTGAATCTCATTCACGGCTAAGGCCAGAGCAGCTGAGTCGAGAGGCTGCTGCTTCTGGTTAGCTTTGAGCTCTGACTGCCATGCTTGAACCTGTTCTTGTGAGATCTTGTGGAGCTCAACAACACGAGTTTCCTCGGAAGCAGACAGCTCAAGAAGCAGCTTTTGTGACTCTTCAAGCTTTGCTGACATGATCAACAGTTGCTTCTTGGACTCCTTGGCATCTTGCTGAGCTTGCTTCCTGCATGATTCAGACAAACTTAGCTGATCCCTTGCCTTCCTTAGTTCTTCTTGAAGCTGTGAAATCAGTACCTCCAATTCAGATGTTCGGCTTGGTCGCCTCTTCTGAAGCAAGGACAGAGGATATGATTAGATATTCTCTTAGGTATAGAAGAGCCATAATTCTAATGCTAAACTCTACTTCTAATTCAATAACAGCAATGTTATGGGAAGCTAATGCGTGTCAGCATCCACAAGCAAATTAGAAAGGAACCACTCTAAAAGGAATTATAAAATCTCTTTCATATCCTCTTTCTTAACTACCAAAATTAATTGCTTCACCTAATCCTACCATCAACATAAATATAATAGATGCTTAGAAAATGAACTCAATGCAAGATATCAATGTACAAAGTAATCCATTAGTTTTCATTGAAAAATAGATCACAATTTAAAGAGGAAAAAGAAGCCTAGCACCATTCATGAGATCAAGAATTTGCCTATTGGCAATGATTGTATAAATGCTAACTTGGAACAGGCACCTGGATAGAATTTGTGGCCCTGTATGAAGCCTCTAACACTCAAAATGCCCTAATAGTTGGGCTTTTAATGTACTTATGAAAAGCTTTTCTAAGGTTCAGCAGTGCCCTCTAATAGTGTATAATGTTCCCTACTTTGTGTACCTCAGAGACTGGGCTTCTAGGTGAACGACGCTCAACAACTTTAGGGCTTTTCTCTTTTGAAGTTCTACTAGCTGGATTTGTAGATACAGCTTCAGTCTCTAGTGTGATTGGCTTGAGTCGACGAACAGCTCGAGGAGACACCCTTTGTGGCACTTCCGAATATTCATTTCTGCTAAATATAACCGATCAATAGTTTAGTACAGATGAAAAAAGTATAATAACAATCAATGACTTCAAGAAGACATTTCAGATGCCTCCAGTTTAGGATAGTTAACTTGACAGTTAGTTCACTTGAAATTATAGATTAGAGCTCCATATGGTTGTATTACAAGACTCTATCTTACCAAACGGTGAATGTGATCATTTCTAACCACCTGGTGGCAGGACCAACAAAATTATCATTGTGACAAACTGAAACTTTTGGAGAACATCATTCCTTATGCACTCAGGTAGGAAAATTTTTTAAATTATTATGCTGAGAAGTAGTCAGAATGAAAGACCACCCTTTGGACATTATGTTAGGAGTTATTTTTTTCCATTTTAACACAAAAATATTTCTGCATATTAAATATAAAAGTCCAATACAATCTGCTAGAGTCCAAGTCAAAGGATACAAGAACAGGACCAATCTCTTAGGCCACCCAATGTTTGGTTAATCTAATTATATTTCGAGTAGTTATGAACTATTTAAGAACTAAAACTGATTGATTATGGATTACCAAACAGTTAAAAATTTAACCATGAGCCGAAAGAATGGAGCCAAAGAACAATTTTCGAGAAGGTAAAATTCAATTCTTAAATCACCTAAATATATGAAAGTTATAGTTCATCCTAGTTCTATCCCTTATCCCATTTTTTGAATTATATGTCTTTTGCCAACCAATATCCTAAACCTGAACAAAACTGCTAAAGCTTTAAGTTCTAATCTAGCCTGTTCCTTGTGAAATAAGCAGATTACTGCGAATATACTAATCAAAGGAACAAATCAGACAATGGTCTCAAACATATGATAAACCACAAAAAAGTTTTGTTTTGGAAGGATGAAGCACTTCAGTTACAGCATCTGATGGTCCCATGAAGGGCCTTGGCTTATCCTATCCTTACGGTAGGAGACAAACAAAATTTTAATTTCATGCAGAGACAGCAGCTCAAATGGTTACCAGACAATGTGGCCCTCAATTATAGCCACAGAGCAGAATTCCCATAAATTATTTATCAGTGCAAAACAAAGTAACCAAAGAAGAAAAACCCAATCAAACAATTGAGTGGCCAGTTGGTAGAGTGCTGGACTATGATCAGGATTCAAATCCTGGCAGCTTCAAATACAAAAAAAAAAACAATGCCAAAATCAAAAGATAGAAGAGCTCCTTGAAGAAAAAGTAGAAAATTAAAGATAAAAGTTGGAAAGAATATAACCCAGATGATTATATATGGCAACAAAAAATAAGGATTGACAACCTAAGCGTAGGAAGCAATATATCTATGCATTGCTTTAAATGACAGAACCACCAATGAAGCTTATTTTTTCAAGAACTACATAAATGCATCCAGGAAATAAGCTAAGAAACCTCTAATAAGGGAAGAATGAATGAGCAGTCTTAAAGACGATAGAAGTTACCTTGCTTTTGGAGACTGCATAATTTAAGGATCCTTTGTCCCTGTGGTCACAAAGTTAAAAACAAGTAAGTTTATTTATCCTCCACCACTTCAATGCTTCCCTGACCCACAAGGCATGTAAAAGATCAGAAAAAAAAAGCATCACAAGCTGAGACAGAAGGATCCAATGTGATTGTGCATGAAAAAAATTTTTAATAGTTCATATGAAAGACAGGTGCTCCTTATCATCACATATGAAGCCAAAAAGGCTAAAAGTCAAAAGACCAACCAAGCAAATCAAACCAGTAGTAAAAGAATATCTCCAAGAAAAGGTCAAAGCAGAAGCTATTCACTTATTAACCACACAGTAAGAGCAACTCTTCATCTTTACCCCAGTCAATGCTACTGCAAATTCGACCTTTGTTCACTGTCATAGGACATTATTATAGTCACAAGGGTCCTACAGCTACAGGGACATAAACATACAAATTTACATAAAAGTACCTTTTTTCGTGTTTTCCTTACTGATCTATTCCAACGCTGCAAACGGGCATTATTGTAATCTAGCAAGTATGCTTTCCTCCTCCATTGTTGCCGTGAAATGAGGACATAAAAATGTAAAAATAAAGCGTGTGGTTCAAAATTTAGAAGAACAGGAAAAAATGATTTCAAATGCAGCTCAAACTTTTGTTTATCTTAACCCGATTGTTTCTCAGGAAAATATTTTCTAGGAGAATTCTTTCAGAAAAAAGAAATGGAGAAACAAGTTTTGAAGATATAAAAACATCAACGTTCAAAGCACACTTAAAGCAAGATCTCATCCACTGCAACTTATAAAACAAAGAAAAATGCACTCATTTTTCCAAAAAAAAGAAAAGAAAAAGACTAAACAGACCAAAAAGAAAACCTTTTTGAGATTCGATTTCCTTTCTACAAACTGTTAAAAAAAAAGGAATAAAGTCTGCCAGGCTGCCATTACAAAGCTCCTGAATTGAACACAGAGCGCAGTTACTATCAACTTAGAAAAGGAACTTTTCTTTTCACCAGGTTCAAAGGAAGCAAAAAAGAAGTTCAAAAGTAACATCATTACCGCAAAGAACAGAAAAAACACAACAACACAAACAAAAACCTCACAAGCATTGATCACACAATGAAAAAAAAAGAAGAGAAAATCGTCTTTTGCTCTAGAGCATTTTCTTGGGAACCCCAAAGAAGAGGAAAAAAAAAAAAGGGTATAGTGTAAAGTAAAGCAAACTTACCAAGTGTAAAGTAAAGCAAACAACTACTCCAAGCAAAGGAAATGAGTCAAGTTTTAAAGCTTTGTTAGAAAATGTAGTGTTTGTGGTGAGGTAATAAGCAAAGAAGAAGACATGGGCTGAGAGTCTGAGAATGGAAGTTGAAAACCCTTTTTTAATGCCTTCTTTTTTTGCTGGGGTTTGTATAGTTCTTTGCTTATTGTCTTAAGCGCAGAACCCGAGGGAGGGAGTGTTGTTTCTGTCTGTGCATTGGTTCAATGATTTTGTTTTGTAGCTGGTAGGATAGTAGTTTCTTGTGGAAAGGGGGCCGGGGAAAGCACCATGTATCAATAAATCTAAAGAGAAAAATGGAGGCATAACCCTGTGGCTGCAGCATATTTTTACTTCTGAATAGGATAAAATATACTGGAAATTGTCATTTGCCATTTTCAGCCTGAAACGTGAGAACTTTTGAAAATTACTCGTCCCTACTTTCACTGTTTCCAATTTCTCCTTTCAAGAATGTATAGGGACAACTGCCCCTAGTCTAGTTGAATTTCAAATATTTTAGGTGCATCATCGTTATCATCATTTTTTTTTACTTATTTTATTTTTAATAATTATCTCCGAATAAAATGAGCATTTAATATGTTGTGATGAATTTTTGGTAAGATTAAAAGAGGAAAAATTAAAAATTAAAAGATTTTAAAAAATTAAGAGTTATTCGAATTGAAAAAAAAAAAAAAAGTTCGTTTGGGATGATAGAAGTATATGAGATATAAGTTTATACGTGCATTAATTAAAATAAATAAATTTTTAAATTTAAAAGAGATAAAAAATTTTAAAATAAATTACAAAAAAAATAAATATAAATTATATAAAATAATATAAAAAATAAATAAATAATTTGTTAATAATAAAAATGAATAACATAAAAAAATTTAAAAATACCATAATTTTTGTTTTATCTTTTATATAGTTAACTTCAAAATTATAAAATATAAAGTTTAATATGTTATTATTATAGTCAATATTTATGCATTGTAATTTATACATTATTATTGAATCAAATCATATCATTTTGTCAATTATTAAAGATAAATTCTTATAAATTTTTAAAATAAATATGCAAAATTTTAATTTTTTTTAAAAAATTCATTAATAAATTAGCATAATTTAATTCATTAACAATTTATAAGATTTATACACTAAATATATATCAAATATAAACTCAATTATCTCCAATATTTTTATATATGACACTATTAAATTAAAAAGATAAATCTGGTTGAGAAATCATTTTTTTTTTTTTGCCATCAACTCAACTCTTTTAGAATATATATATATATATATATATATATTTATTTATCTAGTGTGTTTGCACTTGTCAACTAGCAAACACTTGTCAATGATATATTTTATGAAATTTTTTTGAATTTGAGTGATGAAAATTTGGCAATGAAGAGATTATTTAATCTCTTAAATTAAAATAAAATATATTATATTTGATAATTTAAAATAAATTGTTACAGGTTATGCATTTAAAATTATTCAAATAAGTGATCACTAATATAATTTGAACCTAAAATATCTTTATAAAAAAAAATAAAATTAACCAATTAAATCAACCACTTATTGATGATATGTTTTATGAAATGTTACTTTCTAATGCAACCTTTTTAATTAAGGAGTCAAAGTAGATTAACCCTTTTTCTTTTCCTTCTACAACAATTTCTTTTTTTAAAATTTGTTTCTTCCTTTACCCACAAAATTAGAGAACTGTAGCATATTTTATTGAAGATGTTTAAAATAATTAATAATTTAATATAATAAATAAAAACATAAACAAAAATATTTTAATTTTAAAATTCTAAATCTTATAAATATTAATGTTGAAATTACATATATTAAAATTTAAATATCAAATTTATTAAATATTACTTTAAAACATAATTACATTAATCAATTAAATTAAAACTTGAATTTATAAATCAAAACCTTAAACATATGAATTGTAATGGGTCGGGTCGAAACAAGTTTTTGTTTGCTCTAAATTCGACCCGATTATTAATATAAGATACTTAAATTTGATTTGACTCAATTTTTTTTTTTTTTTATATCAAAACTCAATCCAATATGATGTTATAAAAATCCATACTCAACTCGACCCTGCTCAAAATTAATAAAATATTATTTTTAAATATAAATATAAAATTAATATAATTAATTAATTAAAAAATAATATATATATATATATATATGAGTCAAGTAAAGTTAGATTTATCTAAAATTTGATGTTGACTTTTTTTTTTATCACCTAATCCAACTTGACCCGATATTCAATTTAAAAAAAAAAAAAAAACGTAAGGATTGGATCGAAACTCCTCGAATCCGTATCAAAATGCATTCCCTACTTAAACAAACATTTTTTTCAGTGATTATTATTGCTTTGGATGTGGCTTCCAGTTACTGGCCGTTTGTATGTTGTTGCTGCGTTGATGTGGGCTTCAGATTTCATAATTAATAGGAATTTCAAAGTTTTCTTCCCTTAGAAGGTTGGGTTGCTCTTTACATTACAGTTTTCAACTTCATTAGTCACAGGACGGATTTATTCCAGTTTGGACTGGCCTGTTTCAATTCATCCCACAAAAAAGCCCATACCTTTTCAGCGATCGGTTAAAAAAAAAAAACCTGTATAATCTATTACCATAATAGAAAAGAAGTCTTTGCAATTTGAATAAGAGGATGAGAGCTGTCCTCTTCAATTAAGCCATAAAATTTTAACACTTACATTCAACTGTTGTTACTTGGCTTTTAATTGATGAAAAAAATAAATTACTTAGGGATTTAATTGATGAAAGTTGAACCACAAACTATAATATAAATGAAAAAGATCATATAAGATACTATTAATTTATGATCATTTAAGTTTTCAAAATCAAACTCAAATACTTTCAAAAGTAGTTTTGATTAAAAAAAAAAAAATCTTTATCATAGTGAGGTGGTGGCAGGTGAGCAATCAGACTTTCATTTTCAAATTATTAATTGAAACATGATAAATACTTTAATTTTTAATAGAGAATAGAAACCAATGATTTTTTATGTCTTTTCTTTGTTTTTTAACATATAATTTCACAAAATAAGAATATAATTGCCGCATGTTTCATGTCTTGGTTGGTTGTGTAAAAAATAATTGTAAATGTAATGTTTCTACATCATGGATAGGACACCATCAGACATCATGCTATTGCTGATTTTTTTTTATTCATGGACGCCCGTGACTTGTGAGTTCTTATATTTACACAAAAGTGCATGGTTTAAAGGTGGTTTGTTCAAATTTTTACGGGTGATGTGATTTTATTTTGCAAGGAAATCAATTGCAATTTATTACTGCACCTCAATTAAGATTTTTTTTTCTCTAAAGACTAATTTAACATTGTTGTTATGGTAAAAAAAATTAAATGAAAAAAGTGTTTGTAAAAAATGTGATAAAAACGTTATTAAAATTTTTAAACGTTTAATATTATATTAAATCAAAGTAGATTTTAAATGTAAAAACCACTAAAAGACTTTCACCATCACTAAGGTTCTTTCATACTCTTTCTAAAATACTCTTTAATATATATTATGGTGATATAGGAATCAGAATGCAAACGTTGGAGACAACTCGACTCAATGCCTTTGAATAGAATTTCCAAATGCAAATTTTGGAGCAACTAATTTGACCCAATAAAATAACCATAGATGAGCTTTGATTGAAAGCTTTTTCGAGGCTTTAGATTCTTCAAGTGATTCCTCCCTAACAATCCAACACTCAAACACGCAAATCCCATTGCAAAAGCAAGAAGCAAGTCGTAGAAAGAAAGAACGAGCAAAAAGCTATGATAAAAATATTACTACTCATATCTTTAATATTTAAACTCAAAACTTTTTTTTTTTTAATACCAAGAAGGCAATTGCTCGGAAATAGAGAAAAAAGTTGAGATATTGATATTCAAATTCTAAATTTATTAAATAATAATTTTTAAAAATAATTATATAAATCAATTAAATTTTAAATTTTAAATTCAAAACTTTTAATTAAATTTAAATTTCGATTTTTAAATGTGTCGAGAAACATAATGAAAGATAATTTTATTTTTTCCATTAGGTAAGCTACCATGCTTATTCCATATATATATATATATATATATATGTAGATTTTAATCATTGATCAAGAAAAAAGAAACATCCCAAGAAAGAAGAAGGATTATTGCACAATCCTTGGCCGAAGAATGAACCTTGACATAGTGCTTTGGGTGATGGCAGCAGATTGGATATATGAAGAGAAAGTTGAGGTAAGGTTGAACTTCCTAAACAACCTCTTAGCTTGGGTCATTGAAAACAAAGTTAGCAAATATCTGCTACTACTCCTTAAAGGACTTGTTAGTATGTTCAAGTTTTTGCCCTTAGTCTAGCTAGTTTTTGTTGATAGTTTAAAAATGGAGTATCTTACATTAGATAAAAATATTTAATTATTAATAAATAAAATTAATTTTTGTATTAATTTTATTCATATTTTAAATAATTATATTTGAATAGAAACAATTATTATATGATAAATGGTAATAACTATTTGAATATAAATATATTATTATTCATAAATGTCATGATTATACAAAAGATCATAATCATTTGAATAAAAATTTATGTCTGTTCATTTATTATAAATAGATATTTCAGTATAATCATTTTTACTATTTCTACTTGGAGAGTTTTAAGGTTTTATTGTATCTTAGAGGTATAATAGCATTTAAGAAAGTGTTCTTCACATCTTAAAGCAAATTTTTTTTTATTATT